TGTGTAAGTTTCCCATAAATAATTCTGGTGCCATCAGATTTGTTTTCATTTTCTGTTTTTTTTTTTTTTATATGACTTACTGGCCTAAACAGTAATCTGATCAGAATGCAGGTAATGGAGCAGGTATACTGATATATGGAAATTCTTTAGAGCCAAGACATCTGGTCACTCGCCAGAATTGAAAAACCATTGAGCTGTAATAATCAGATCATCATTCAATCTATTTGTCGAAAATACTTTTAAAATTGCTGCATCTGGAGTGTAACTTAAAAATTCATGAGCAAAGATACATTTACTCCTTAAACTCTTTACAAGTGATACTACTTCATTAGAAACATTTTATTCCAACTCATCACAGAAGGCAGCCTCACTTTATGCTCTCTCTCTCTCTCTCAAAATATGCACTAGCAAAACATACTGTGATTAGTCTCAGGTCTCAAAACATTTTTTCTCATGTAATATCATTGGCTTTAGTCTTCTTTGTACAGATTATTTCCGGTGATGTAGCCAAGTCATCTATGGTATAGTAATATACAAAAAAGTAACTAAATTTCTCCAACTTAATTACTCTTGTGTGAGTAATTTTTTTATTAATACTTCTGCTTGTACTTATGTAAATGATCACTGCAGAAACAGTACTTGTACTGAAATATGAATTTTCTCCCCTTTATGTTATACCCCTGTATATTACAAACCTGGTAGTTAGGGTATAATCAGATAGTGATGTTTTTCCTAATAGTGGACATGTGCATGTCATATTAGACACTGAAACTGAAAGCTGAAGTAGCAGTATGTATGTTATTATACTCTGTGCTTCCTTGCATGAAACTAAAACAACGTCATCTGTGTTCTGGGGACAACTTGTGATGGGCCACACTCGTTGCTATGGTGACTGTCTGGAAATGTTAGCTTCATAGAGGCTGGCGCTTATTTTGGGATGTCTCCTTTCGGCTCCGGGAGAGGAAAGGCAGGGATCAGTGAGCGAGTTGATCCCTCGCTGTCACACTGCAGATGCCTTTTCTGATTATCTAGCCAGGAAAAACACAGCAGCACATGAAGTTAGATTAAGGCCCAGTGTCACATGTACAGAGTGCAGGCATGTGTGTGTTTAATATGTGATAGTTTGTGTTTAGAATGGTGGGTAGTTTATATAGATTATATGTTAGACTGAAGGGCTATCAAGTGTGTATATTGTCACTGTCAAGTCAAAATCTGTTATATGACTTATAAGTCTTGAAAGCTTTGCCTTTCAACATTTCTGTTGGTCCTTTTGTCATGAAGTATTTACACACCATAAAACACAGCTGGTGTTTTAAAATGGTGCACAAAAATACAAAATGAAAAGGTAAATTAGTAGATTTTTTTATGACAGTGAACATTTAAAAATGTTTTGGAAAATTCTGATGGATTTTCTTCACATCAGTGAGTTTAGATGGATTAAAACAGGAACTGGAAGACTGAAGACCAGTCAATTGCTTTAAGCATATGAAGAAGCTGTGTGTGTGTGTTTATTTGTATGACTGGGAAACCCTTAGGGTCTGAAATAAATAAAAAAACATGTACTTGTCTGTAATTTTTAGTTCATGTTTATTTAATATAATCTTCATGTTTGTTGTATTTAAACTCTACAAGTATTGTAACTTTTCTCTGGGGATGTTTGTATCCGGGTGAATACATCCAAGTTAGTTCTCTCACTGGTTAGGACTTCAGGAGAGTGACTGAAGGCCTTACATGTTAGAATAACTACCAGCATAATCAGGAGCTGACAGTGAAAGTATGTTTTGACTTCCAATGAGTAGGACAAATTTCATATGAAAAACTTCATTCTAGGCCTTTGAAAATCCTAGATACGAATACGGAGCCCTGATTAGGAAAATGAATGGTAGCCTAACCAGGTTTCAGTCAGCTGTTAGAAAAGAGCGGTGGCAGCTCTTTTTCAGAACTTACTGAAAAACTGACTTCGAAAACTGCAACGTTTAAGGTAAAATATATGTGAATCACAGTTAGCTTAGTGCTAACCAGGGATTGATTATTTACCGGGCCAGGGGGGCCAGTGTCCAGTGACTGCAAGGGTGTTGGGGGGCCTCAAATGCTTGGGATAATCTCCTGCAGATGTAAAAATTAGGTGAATAAATAGCCACTGAATATGTACAAATGATTAAATGAATTGAATAAACAAAACCATGTTAATTGTTCTCAGACCCCTCAAGTGTAATATTATTGACTTGTGAAATTTTGTGGTTGCCATTCAAATGAGAAGTTTTAGAAAGTGTGTATTAGTAGTTTTAGTGTTTAGAAATCATGATTGAGGTTTGTCTCAAGTTATTCAAGTCTTGAAACAAAGAAACAAAGTGTTATGATGTTGACATAATAGAATAATGCCAATTATGCCAAAAGTTTGTTGCTGAAAGTGCATGTAAACATAATTAATTGTTGTTAATGTCTTTTTTGCACTGTCTTGCACATTTTAGTGCAGTCTTATTATACTGAAAAAAAAATAAAATATAAAATATTCCATACATTTTGCACAGCCCATGTTTTATTTTTACCTTACATGTTAAATTCAGCAAATAAACAGTAATTATGTATTAAAGTGTACTCTCTGTAGAAGAATGGTTAGTTAATTTTTTTATGTAGACAAAACATGCCATTTGACCAGGGGTGCCAAGTCTTTTGACTTTGTTTTGACATCTATAGCCCAGACATTAAGGTGTAGCTTAATAGCGCTGTTGTGTCAGTAGAGGTCTGTAAAGATGCATAATAGAGTTTGAAATACTGCAGCTTCTCACTGCATATATTATACTTTAGGTTTGAGGTCAAGGTGGTCTCGATACCATCTGTCTTGATGTATTATGAGCATGGGATTTATTGAAGTGACCCTGAGCAGTTGACCCTGACAAAGTTTCAGTGACAACCTTGTTATGCCTCTGTGTTTTGTGTTTCACTTGGAGAAAAAGACTGGTATACTTACTATAGCTTGCATAATGTGATGTTCCTATCATATTCCCTTTTCTTCAAAAATAGAATGAAACAAGAATGCCTCGATAATGCAGTCTTCATTATCAAGTTAGTTTGTTGTTGCTTAATGTTTTATAAAGTTGTTTTTATGTAAAACAACATAATTACATGGCAGCATTATGATCCAATTTATATGATCTGCTTTGCATTTGAAATATAGGCTGAAGAATAATATATGATGCCATTGATTTACTGGGACATAGAACATTACATTTACAGCTGTATTTTTTGACCATTTTGTGCATGATCTCACTTGCTACAGTGCCTTTTACCAACATTCTGTGACTGTAAGAAAGGCTTTTAACATCTCTTTATTCGTCACTTCATAATACAAAATCCTATGTACAGAATCTTTTCTGTTGGCTTTCATTGTTGTTTAGCAGGATTGGACAAAAGTGATGTCAAGGAAACGCAGCAAAAAAGTAGGAAGGTGACTGCGTAAAGCAGAGTATTGTATAGTTCAGGAAAATATCATCTGTCCCTGGTACTAGTTTCTCAGTGCCCTAAATGAACAGTTTTTGGCAGGATAACCAGTTCAATAGGTTAGTCTCTGTCAGAATGGCACATCTGGTTACAGTTCCGCTATATAGCACCATCCAAAAAACTTTCTGCATTTGTATATGGTCAAAAGTATGTGCACATGCCTCCTGATTATTGAGCTTGGGCGTTTCAGACGCACCCATTGCTAACAACTGCATAAAAACAAACACATTGCCGTGCAGTCTTCATCACAGTAGAATGGATAGCACTGAAGGACTCAGTGACTTTAAACGTGGCACTGTCATGAGATGCCACCTTTGCCACAAGTCAGTTTGTGAAATTTTAGCCCTGCTGGATCTGCCCCAGTCAACTGTAAGTCCTATTATTGTGAATGGAAAGGGTCTAGGAGCAACAACAGCTCAGCCATAAAGCGGTAGACCGCACAAACTCACGAAAGCGGAGCTGTCGAGTGCTAAATCGTCTTCCTCTGTTACATCACTCACTGCAGAATTTTAGACTGCCCAGAAACTACCCAAGAACTGTGCATCAGGAGCATCATGAAGTGGGTTTCCATGGCTAAGCAGCTAAGCACCTGTGCAATGCCAAACAATGGCTGGAGTGGCATAAGGACTGTGGTGTAAAGCCACTGGACTCTGGAGCAGTGGAAACATGTTCTATGTAGTGATGAATCACATGTCACTATCCGACAGTTTGATGGACAAATCTTGTTGGATGACATGAGAGTGTTAGATGCTGGAATGCATAGTGCCAACAGTAAAATTTGGTGGAGGAGGAATAATAGTCTGTGGCCGTTTTTCAAGGGTAGTGTTAATGCTACTGCATACAAAGACATTTTAGACAATTATTTATGACAACAGTCTGGGGAAGGCCCTTTCCTGTTCCAGCATGACTGTGCTTCTGTGCACAAAGCGAGGTCTATAAAGACATGGTTTGACAGGTTTGGTGTGGAGGAACTCCAGAGGCCTTTACAGAGCCCTGACCCCAACCCCCCTGAACCCTTCTGGGATGAATTGGAGTGTCGATTGTAAGCCAGGCCATCTCATCCAACATCAGTGCCTGACCTCACAATTCTCTTTTGACCAGATGGGCACAAATTATCATGGACACACTCCAAATCTTGGAAAGCCTCCCCAGGAGAGTGGAGGCTGTTATTGCCGCAAAATGTCAGGAGAGGGACACTTTATAATTGCCCATGGTTTTAGAATGAGATGTCCAACAAGCTCATGTGGTGTTATTGTCAGGTGTCCACATACTTATGGTCACATAGTGTATACACATAATAATGTATGACGTATGTGAAAATTGAAAGTGTAAATAAGTGTGCACTCTGCTGTTGAATTTGCATGTGACTGTCACATGAAACCATCAGTGCAAGTTTTGTGTTTATAAGTATATGAGCTGTGGCTCTGGTATTTGTGTTTCTCTGTTTGTGTTTGTGTGTTTACCTGTAATCTCTGATCAGTGTGTACGTTCTTATGCAGAGAAATGATGAGGAGGCAGTGTTGGACAGAGGCGGCACCCGCTCAATGCTCAACACCAACTTTGAGAAAGAGGAGTTGGAAGGTACAGAAAATATGTGTCTTTCTGATATTCATCCTGAAACATTGATTGAAATTGCTTCATTAATACTGCTTTAATTGACCGTGTGTACATCTGAAACAACAAATTCACCTTCTACCAAAACTATCATAAAGGCCACATTAACAGCTAACTACTTATTTTAATATGTTTCATCCCAAGTTCATCCAGTACACTGCTATAGACGAAGCTCTGCTTTGACAGAGGTTAAAGTAAATGTGAGTAGATCCTGACGTCAGTCAGTCCTAAGGAAATATTCCATTTTGAGAACAGTCTAATCTTGGCTCAAACACAGCCAGAGGAACATGTCTTCACATTATTTTTCTGATTCCAAAACCTTGTCCTTATTCGTCCTCATCAGAGTGAAGAGTATCTGGATTGTGTACAGTCTACGATGCCTCTGACCTTGATAATATTAGATTTTTCATTTTCTTTTTAAATTATCTTCTTGAAGTATCAGTCCAGTTCTCATGTGCATCATGAACAGTCTGCTATTGAGGCTGCCTTGTTGAACTGACATATTTACAAGTGACTCATGTCCAGCCTTACCATAGGGGCCACGTACGCACCCAAACGCACATAAACATTCAGAAACAAACACGCACACAGCCTGTACCGAGGTCAAAGAGAGGTGATGTAGGTAACTGCAAGTGTGTGTGTGTGTGTGTGTGTGTGTGCAAGCACATGTGTTGGAGAGCCCCTAAAGGCCTTAAAACTACTATTGTAATGTAAAATTTCAATCTGTGGAAGCACTGTAGAAAAAACATATTCATAAACACAAAAAGCACAAAAATGGCTGCATTAAGCATCCTTAAGCTAAGCTAAACATATATATATATTTCTAAAATGCAGTTTGAAAGATAGTATGTTTTGCTGACATTTCGTATCCATTTGGAGTGTTAATATGTAGTAGAGAGGCTGCCATATAGTTCCAGGGGCATCTGTCAGTCACACTTTAAATCATCTCAGGACTTGGTGTTGAGAGCTTCCATATCAGCCATGTCAGCTCCTGCCATGACTTCCAACTCTATATGTATATATAGCACAGTGTGGGACTCATTCGTGTTTGATACAACCAGTAATAAAAAATGTTCACTGCAGAATATGTAACAGCAGTATTTAGAGAGGAGGCAAAAGTAGTGGGCAATATCCAAATAAGCACAGATAACGCACTGTACAAACAGTGCAAAACATGCTAATGTTAGCTTAGTCAATCATCTCTTACCAATTCTTCATCTCCTGCTGTGTGGTCAGTTGTAGTTTGAGCTAATGTTAGTCCAGGTTGTTATCAAGAGTCTGAAGAATAGAGAGTTGTGTATAAGGAATAGCTGTTCTCTTGGTGTACTGACAGTCTTTACTTTATGATTAAGCTTTAGCATTGAACGTCTGTCTCCTTTAGCATCACCTATGCAGCCATCTCTTTGGTCAGCAGCATCAGACAAAGCTGTGCTCTAGGGCCTGGTCCTTCCATCAAGCCAAGAATCTGAAGCTACGCAGCTGCTACTGATAGCGTGAATGACTAATATTTACCATTAATTCCTGCACATTCAACTGTGTCTTACAGTTATAAATGTAACCACAAGTGTACACCAATCAGACATAACATGATGACCACCTCCTTGTTTCTGCGCTCATTGTGCATTTTATCAGCTCCACTTACTATATAGGTTCACTTTGTAGTTCTACAATTACAGACTGTAGTCCATCTGTTTCTCTGCATACTTTGTTAGCCCCCTTTTACCCTGTTCTTCAGTGGTCAGGACCCCAATGGACCCTCACAGAGCAGATACTATTTGGGTGGTGGATCATTCTCAGCACTGCAGTAACACTGATGTGGTGGTGGTGTGTTAGTGTGTGTTGCGCTGGTCTGAGTGGATCAGACACAGCAGTGCTGCTGGAGTTTTTAAATACCTCAGTGTCACTGCTGGACTGAGAATAGTCCACCAACCAAAAATATCCAGCCAACAGCGTCCTGTGGGCAACGTCCTGTGAGCACTGATGAAGGACCAGAGGATGACCAGCACAAACTGTGCAGCAGCAGATGAGCTATCGTCTCTGACTTTACATCTCTAAGGTGGACTGACAAGGTAGGAGTGTCTAATAGAGTGGACAGTGAGTGGACACAGTGTTTAAAAACTCAAGCAGCACTGTTGTGTCTGATCCTTTTGTACCAGCACAACACACACTAACACACCACCACCATGTCAGTGTTCCTGCAGTGCTGAGAATGATCCACCACCCAAATAGTATCTGCTCTGTGAGGATCCATGGTGGTCCTGACCACTGAGCAACAGGGTGAAAGGGGGCTAACAAAGTATGCAGAGAAACAGGTGGACTACAGTCTGTAATTGTAGAACTACAAAGTGCACCTATATAGTAAGCGAAGCTGATAAAATGGACAATTAACGTAGAAACAAGGAGGTGGTCATAATGTTATGCCTGACTGGTGTATGGGGCATATGAGACATTTGACTCGAGAAATTTAGACCTGAAACAACATTTAGCACCATTTTTGCTGACCTGAAAAAGCTCCTGCTCGCATATGCATATATCAATACTATTAATAAAATGAATAAACATTTATAGGTGCTAATTGAGTAGTAAGATTAGATAGAGCTGGCTTGAGTATCAGTACTCGATATCTCTACAGGATCAGGTATCGGTATCAGAATGGAAAAAGTGGTTTGGTGCGCTGCACCAAAGAAAATTAAACTTCACTAATTATGCTAATTATGCTGTTGTTGCAATGACGGTTGGTCGGTATTCTTTAAGTACTGATGATATCCACAATATGCTCAGAAAAGCCTCTTTCTTACAATCCAGGAGCAACACCACAACTTCCAGCTAGTACATGTGGCTTCAGTTTTGATTCTAACCTTGGTCCAGTACTTCCTACACTAAAGTTTGTGCCGACCTAAGATGGAGGATTGGCCACTGGTTCTCAGTGTGAGTGCCTGAGGCCATCGTCAGTACGGATTACATCCATACGCCCCCCTACAGACACACCTTGTCAACCTGCATCCTTCAGACAGACTCAATAGTGTTGGAGTCAGGCATGAGTGCTACAGGGCTCAAAGAGAGGGAAGCTGACTGGGATTGAAACGGAAGCTGACAGTGATTAATTAATTTATTCTTATTGACAAGGATGGACGTCTGTCATATTTCTTGGTTTAGTTGTTAAAATGTACTAGCATAAAACTTGTCATGTTATTTTTGATAAACATCCAACATGTTTCTTGACGACTGTATTTTGGACTTGTAGGCCACCGCACTCTGTACATCGGAGTGCATGTTCCTCTAGGTCGGAGATCACATAGACGACACCGTCACCATGGACACCGTCACAGGAAGAGGTCACGAGAGAGAGACTCAGGAACTGAGGACGGCAGGGAATCTCCCTCATATAGTATGAGTATAGCTGAATACTGTGTTGAAAATGTCACAGTACCTCAAACCTTTCTCCACTCTTTCATGTGCTTCTATACTCTCTCTCTCTCTCCAACAGCGGACACTCCGTCTCAGAGGGTGCAGTTTCTGTTGGGGATGGAAGACGAGGATGAGGAGCACATACCTCACGCACTCTTTACTGAGCTGGATGAGATCTGTCTGAGGGAGGGAGAGGATGCTGAGTGGAAAGAGACTGCTAGGTACACAAAACCACAAAAACCCACATAGACCACACACAAAAACACATTAATTGCTTCCCATAAGTTTTTAAAACATCATTTAAAAACATCACCTGTCCTTTTACTTCATGTGGACATTATATGATGAGAAACTGAAAATGGAAACAGTTTATGGTCCAGAAAAAGTCTAAAATTACACAAAGTTTTGTTATGACAGCTATTATGTATGTGTTGAAGTCATGCTAAGGATTTCAAATATGTGCTGCTCTCAAGTCATGTCGGAAATATTGTACCTGGGAGATAAATGCAAATATCATAATCTGTAGTCAGAAACCTTTTCCATGAGCCCTTGTTTTCGAGTATCAAAAAAGCAGTAGTAGCTGCTGATAGTTATAAACTAGTTTGTATTTAACAGATGAGCATGAATATGAACACATAAGCATGCTCTAGTAATTGTACAAGCATACACTTATCTATAGTTATATAATTAAAAGTGGCTTAAAAGTAGTACATGACTTTAAAACTGAGACAGTGCTCCCTATGCGCTCTCCATTATTCTTTGGAAAGTAAACAGTGTTGTCATTGACCCGGTCTGAAAGATCGACTGGTGCGATGTGCTAGTTTCTGTTTATCCTGGGCTAACCCGTCTGAATGTAGACCTCCTGGATTAGAGCGCACAGGCCCCTGCTCTACCAGATGCACCTAATGAAGTGAATTCATTAAAGGCTTTTCTACAGAAAGACCTGCATCCCTCAGTTGTGGCTATGGGTTTAAGGGAATTTGGTCATTAAGGGGACACACATGTAGGTTAGGCAGGTTATGAGCAGAGGCTGATTTCACATAAAAACAAAGTAGCAAAAAGGCTGCTCATTACATGGAATGTTTCACACTGTAGCAGTAGAGGTGGTGTAGTACTGAAATGGCATGACAAATGAAGAATAACAGAGAAGTTTTTGTCTGGATGATGATGCTGAAATGTACAGTGCTCCCATTTCATTGTGTTAGGAACATGACCTACATACTGCACGCTTTGTCTCTCTCTCTCTCTCTCTCTCTCTCTCCCTCCCTCTGTCTATCTAACGATTGATCAATCAGTTTCTTTTTCCTCTCTGTTTCTTACTCCCTCTGTATTGTTATGTGTTTGCAGATGGCTGAAGTTTGAGGAGGATGTAGAGGATGGAGGGGAGAGGTGGAGTAAGCCCTATGTAGCCACACTCTCTCTGCACAGCCTGTTTGAACTGCGTAGCTGTATCCTAAATGGCATCGTCATGCTGGACATGAGAGCTAACTCACTAGAGGAGATTGCAGGTCTTGTATATTAGCACTTAAACTGCATTACAATAGACTTTCATACAAGCTAGAGCAATAAAAACATGTATGTTTTCTGAATATACAGACATGGTACTAGACCAGCACGAGACGTCGGTTGCTGTGGGAGAGGAGGTGCGCAGGAAGATCCGCAATGCTCTTCTCAAACAGCACCACCATCAGAACCAGAAAAAACTAGCCAATCGCATTCCCATTGTGAGGTCTTTTGCCGACATCGGAAAGAAGCAGTCTGAACCTCACTCAATGGATAAGAACGGTAATGCCACCCAATGCTCAAACTTGGCTATAGTTCCTTTATTTAATTAATTTGTGGCATGCTGGAGTGTGTACATAAAAAATTATGTTTTTAATCTACTTAAAGCTGCACTGTGTATGTTTTCTGTTAAAATTGAAAGGAGTAGCGTTGCTGAGTCAGGATAATCATTTAAGAGTCAGAGGTGTTGGGTCGGATTTTGTGGGAGTTTTCCGGACCACATCATACGTCTTTATGTATTAATGTCACATGCACAGTTTCAAAAAGAAGGTCTGGCTCGATGTTTAGGTCTTAAATTCAGAATCAACATTATACTGGTGTGTACTGGAGATGAAATGATATTAAAATTTCATATCACGATTATCATGACCAAAATTATCACGATTATCGGTATTATTGCGATATTGTTCAAATGTGTTGAAAAGTAAAATAAATAAAAAAATAAATACTGATACACAAACTGAAACTCGTTTAACCAACTTTTATATTAACACAAATAGAATTGGCAGCAGTATGCACTTTTTGTTTGCATAAACATTAAAAAATAAAGTCAATACATTTTTAGTATTACTTTTGTATTACTTACAATACTTGTAATACTCTGTAAACAAAAGAATAGCAAATGTATTATTATTACTGTTGTTATTATTATTACTGTTGTAATAATAATAATAATAATAATTATTATTATTATTATTATTATTATTATTAATTACAATAACTAGGGATTTCCCTGCATAGAGAATTAAATCTCGACGAACTCTGAGGTGGGTCTTAATGGAAAATTACTACTTCTAAGAAGTGCTGCACTCGGGGGATTTCTGTCCGAACTGTAATTGCAGCATTATTGTGCTGTTGTGGCGCTGTACCCCTAATCAATACAGTGCACCAGGAAAAACAGCCAAATCACAGAGGAATTCCGTGACAGTGCTGTGAACTGCACACAGTGTAGAACTCACACAGTGTGTCTTCACCTGTGGAGCCGCTTCTCTAAAAGCATTTTAAAACTAAAACATAACTTAAAATTAACATGCATCTGAGCTGCGACAGAAACACTCCTAAAGTTTCATCTCTGAAACTCTCTTTTCCTAAAAGCAGCATGCAGCATTTACTCGCGCAAGGTCCTGTCTCAAAGCACACTATCTTCCCTATATAGTGCACTTTGTGGATCATGAAATAGCAAATTCTTCAACCAAAGAGTGCATGAAACGTTCAACTAAGTCATCTATAATCAGCATTAACAATAGGTTACAAATTCCCTATTTAAAACTCAACTGCTTGTTAATGATGATCATCTTTGTTTGAACAGTAGCGCACTATGTAGGGGACATTGAGTGATTTGAGACAGTGTTATTCTCCTCTCAGAAAGTAAACACTGCAAGTGAGACGAGAAAGGGGAGCTGTGCAGATTGAACTTTTACTTCTCGTTCCAGAGCTTGTGTGACTGATAACTCAGAGCTCATTTTGGAGACTCTGCTCCACAGAAATATGTGTTAAAAGCTTTAGTTTCGATTCACAGTTGATGCTAAAAGCTTCATTTTATATTATTAACGAACCATAAGCATAAGTTAAACCACACAAACCATGACATTTCGTCTATTTCGAAGTCCCCACGGACTTCTACGTTAAAGTTAACCTTGCATTCTTGCAAGTAGCGGGTGGTGGTCGCGAAGATGACTCGTAAGGTTTGATGTGTTGCCCCCTTTCACTGCTATTTTCTTTCGGCATGTTCTGCAGACAGGGTGGTCATCTTCAATTAACTTTCCTTCTGCATCCTTATAAAACCCAAAATATGACCCAACGTCAGACTTGGTCTTCTTAGAAGGCTGAAATATCTCCGAATCTCCGAGTTTTTCACACCGCTGTAATCAACCGCGGTTTTAACGATACTTTAAAGTTCAAACGGTACTGCTGTCATTAATTTTACCGCGGTTTACCGTGAAACCAGTAACCGTTTCATCTCTAGTGTGTACACGATGAAAATAGTAGATAATTCACTTACATTCTCGGAAGACATGTCAGTTACCAAGTTTTTGATAATTTCTCTTTGAATGCTATGTCAACACGCTCGCAATCCGATTCATGACTTCGTGGAAGTCCGAAGGACAACTCAAGTCATTTTCCAATGCACTGGCAGAATGGCCACTAGGGGGCTCCAGAAAGAGGCTATTTCAAATGTTTACATCATTTTCAGATAAATGAACACCAACACAGTTTTGTCTTTCGGTTTATTTACTTTCAGCAGTTATTGTGGCAATTTTTTCTATGTGGAAATGATGTACATGTTTGGTTAAGTAAATTCAGTGCATCAGTTATTTTTCAATGTATCTGTACTTTACTTTTTTAATTTATGATCTTGCTGTTGCCATGTCTATATTTTCATTCTTGTTTGGTTTGTGTCATGTGTGCTTGTGTGCATGTTTCCTATTCAGCCATGACCCCCACCTACCACCATCCCAGTTCAAAGGCCTCATTCTGGTCCTCTTTGAAGGCAGGCTGTATGAGAGACACACAATCATCCTCATGCAAAACATGGCCCTTCTGCTGCCCTAAGTGTGTGTCCCCTCCCTCTAAACGCTCTCATCCAAGCAGTGCCTCTACTCCCCCAGAGCCTTCACTCTTCCGCCCCAGCAGGCCCCGATTCCCCCTAAGCAAGAGGTTCAGCCCATCCTATGGCATAGACTACCATCCCATCCCCTACCAGGACCCATTGGAAAAGCTACTATCAGGCAACTCTGATGGAAACTAACATTTAACTAAAACACAGTGTTAAGGTCTTTACACACCGAAAACAATTTATTTGTGCAATTTATTCAAAATACTTTTTTTTTCAAATATAAATACATCATTTGTGACACTTGTAAAGTTGTTTGCAGAAGCTCAGGTCCTCCTTGTCAAATTATTTGCACACTTCTGCACATTTTAATGCACAGTTATGGTTTATTTTCTGAATTTAACACATTGTAAAAAAGTAAAACATAAAATGTGGCCTCTGCAAAATTATGGCATATTTTATATTTTATGTTACAGTTTTTTAATATGTTAAAGTCAGCAAATAAATAGAAACTGTGCACTTAAATTTGTAGTCCGACCATGGATGAAATTTTGCATACCAGCTACAATTTTAAACTGGTGAAAATTGTTTATTTGCCTCCCCTGTTTGATTTTTGTAACTTTGCTAACCACATGAACATGACAAGAAGACATTTTGTCTTTTCTTTTTGAGGTATGTACATATTTGGCCAAATTCCAAAAAATTGCAATGCGTCTGGTGTGCATACTTTTGGTGCAGAAAAAAAAAAGTTTATGTTCTGTGTTGTTAATTCACATTGCCTTCAGTGTGTAATGGCCTTTAGACTGCTACAACTCCTGAGTCTACAGAGCTTTGAATCCGAACAGGAGCTGTCCAGGGTCTGGTGCTGAAACCAGAATGCTTAGTGTTCAGAGAATTGTAGTGAAACAGAGAGCCATTTAGTCTTGGGAGCTGTAGTTTGTTCAGCCTCAATAACATCTATGTAGTTCCTTCAGAATAATTATGCATTATAATGCTACTAACTCTACTGGCCAATGGACCTTTAGACATATCACTGATACCGTTCATATGCTACTTCAGGAAAGCCCTCATTCATTGCAATGCTAACATGAATAGCCTCTTCCTAAAGCATTACAATTATTGTTTAACTTCTAGGCAGTTGCCTGCTTTCACCACATTATTTATCCAAGCACTGTTGCCTTAGGGATAAATACGATTGCCAGGGAATTTATGTGATGTGATTTAGAGGGTAGCCTTAAGACCTGGTCTTGTAAGACTTAGTGGCATGTCCTCTGCTGTTCACAGGTCAAATGGTGTCTCCTCAGTCACAGCCCTCCTGCACAGAGGCTCGAAGTGATGGCAGTCGAGAGAACAGTGCAGTGGACTTTAGTAAGGTAAAACCAATTCTGACATACCCTTAAAACTGTGGAACCTGTCATATCACTAAATTTAACGTATACTTTGCCAGTTGTACCACACTTCAGTAAAAAAGCTTTAAAGGCATTGTTTTACCAAAAAAAAAAGTCCACAATTTCCCTTTACTTCAAAAAGGTTGACCAGCCAAGATATTTTCTGCAGTGCAGCTATGCAGCTAACATAGCTAACAAGTAATGAAATGGTATTACCAATTATCATTGTGTAAACCATATGCGTAAATCATCCCACACTTGCCTTAAACCAGACTGAGTTGTCAAGCAGATTTGCTTATGTGGTTTCTGGCACTGTATGACATACTACGCAAGCAAAAAATATGGCATAATAATTACTATTATAATGATCAATAATAACAAAACAACATCACTGCTAATAAAATTGATATCATTATCATCAGCCTATTATTATTATTTTATTAATATAGCCTTTTACAAAAGGAAATTCAAGCTCAAAGTGCTTTACCCTGAAAATAACATGAGAATAACTGTACGCAAATCCAGTAGAAAAGCATGAACTAGTAACACGACTAGTTGAATGCTCCTAAAAGAAAAAAAAAACAAATAAAAAACAATAAAATTAAAAATTAAAATAAAATAAATCAAATAAATATTTTTGCCAAGCTCCGTAGTTTAAGTAGACTGAAATTTTCAAGAAAGATGTATATGTTTCCAAAGATTCCATAAACAACACAGTGAGTTTTAATAATTTGGTGCATTTATATAGAATTCAGTTAATGTTTGCTGTCATCTGTGTGCAGGCCCGGCATCAAGGAGTCATTTGAGTAGCCAATCATCATGCCCAACTAAACCCACTTTTTAATATATATTTCTGTAATGAAAAGAGGCAAAAAAGAGTTTAAACTGCACTTCACATGCACTGTTGCCATACTTATCAATACTTTGGCTTTGGATTTGGATACAATGTATGTTGCAGGAACATTTTCAGGCAGATTTTCTGATTCTCTCTTGAATGTGTGAAGAAAAATGCAAACCCAATTCCAAAAAAGTTGGCACTGTAGGTTAAATGCAAATAAAAACAGAAAGCTGTGTTTCATAAATCCATTTTGACCTTATTTGGTCTACTACTATGTCTGTATAAGCAGTATAAAGATGAGGTAATAAATGTTTTATCTTTTCAACTTAATTGTTTTTTGTAAACATACATTCATTCTAAAACCAATGCCTACAACATTCCAAAAAAGCTGGAATCTAAGAAAGAAAGTCCTTTATGAGCAAGAAATCTAAGAAAGGCAAAGTGCTTTAAGCGCAAGGATGGGTCGAGGCTCACCACTTTGCCAAAAAATGCATCAGCGAAATAGTCCAGCTGTTTAAAAACAACATTCCTCAACAAGCCAATAAAGATTTTTAGCTATTTCACTCAATATATTGCGTAATATTCTTGTCAAAAGATATTATCCAGAAAAAACACAGCAGAATGCCTATGAGCTTTGACCCCTCAGAATGCACTGCATTAAAAACCGGTATGCTTCTGTGATGGATATCACCACAAGCGCTCAAGAGTACTTTGACAATTTTTGTCAATAAAAACAGTTTGTTCCTGCGTCCACAAATGCAATGGACTAAAAACAGTAGTAGCAGCTATGTTTCATATGTTTGACCATTTTTATGTTCAAAAATGTCATACATTTGTTTTTTTTTCTGAACAGTAACATTGACATTGTCAGTGATATAACTCCACATTGTTCGAAATGCGCAGATAGATCTCCATTTCATGAAGAAGATCCCTCCAGGGGCAGAGGCCTCAAATATCCTTGTTGGTGAACTGGAGTTCCTAGAGAAGCCGGTTGTGGCCTTTGTGCGTCTCTCCCCTGCTGTGCTCCTCAACGGTCTGGCTGAAGTTCCCATCACCACAAGGTGAGAGGCAGGAGGACTGTACAACATTTAAAACAAAACTCTTGAGAACACTTACCGATTGGTGAAGTAAAGAACAAATTCTAGGCATTAGAAATATCTGACTCACACCATCCTGCACAATTTTTCTAACTGCTTCCTTCATATCTAGAAATGTTCTTCAGGAAGACTTACAAAACTGAATGTAGCTAAAGTGTTTGAGAAATTCATGATGTACAAGAAACAAGCATTCTTCAGCTATTTTACAGTATAATGTCTGTATTCTCCAGGTTTCTGTTTATACTGCTGGGGCCTCTGGGGAAAGGGCCACAGTATCATGAGATTGGGCGCTCCATTGCTACGCTCATGACAGACGAGGTCAGCATCATCCCACGCTCTCTTGTCCTGAAGAACCCCAGTTTGCCTCATCTATATCCACATCTGTTTATTGTTTCTAACTGTATGTCTGCTTACTCTCTTCTTCTTAGGTGTTCCATGATGTGGCATATAAGGCAAAAGACCGCAGTGACCTGGTTGCTGGCATTGATGAGTTTTTGGATCAAGTGACAGTGCTGCCACCAGGAGAATGGGACCCCACCATCAGAATAGAACCGCCCAAAAACGTGCCCTCTCAGGTGCAGCACTCACACTCTGCCCTCTCAAGCAAAAAGTTGATTTTCCATTATACAGGCCCTTTAAGTTAGCTGTTGTTATCCATGCAAGTCTCTCCTGATATAGACAGATATGGTTAGCAGGCAGTAGAGTGATGAATTATAAGGCTGTATTAGTTTGAGAGTGTTGAATGGTGATTGAGGTTAATGAAATTGCTGTATGATGTAATTCTTCAGGAGAAGAGGAAAATTCCTCCCTTGCCTAATGGAGTGACTGATCTAGGAGAGGCAGAGGCACATGGAGGCCATGGAGGACCTGAATTACAGCGCACAGGAAAGTGAGTATGTGTGTGTATTTGAGCATGGGAAAGTTAGGCTCTGCCTGAGAGATTCTCAGTTTTTCTTGTCTTCCTTCGTCATCTCTTTTGTTTGTTTTCTCTTCTCCTCTGCACTAAATCTAGTCAGTCTTACTGAGGGTAGACAGCCCCTTTACACAGGGGATCACACTGTGGCCTGCATTTGTATTCATCAGAACATACACAGACACTTCTATAAATCTTTTTTCTTTCAGTTGACCTGTTTACAATGAAAAGCTCTCATTAATTCAGTCCTTTAGACTTCATTCAAAGAGACTGGTAGTAAACGGTTCTTATTTAGGTGTTTTCAGTTTTCAAGGTTAAACATGCATTATTTTACAGATTCTAAAATAGCAATGGATTTGGCTGATTTCATTTCCCCATTATGTTACATCTTACAACTAATGTATGTGTTAACAAGGCTGTTGAACACTGAATGTTCTCTTGGTAAACATCTTCTAATGCATGAGTAGTTAACAGATGGATGTCAGATGCAGTGGTGGTGGTATGATCGGGTGGTATAAATAAGCTAAAACTACAAATAAAAATGATCGGGCAAAATTTGTGAAATATTTGAAATTCTGTTTTTGATATTGACCAATCAAAATTACAGTTGAACTATGAGCTGTTTTCTAAGCTTTTTGACCTTGAGACAAAAGCTTGTCAAAGAAAACAAAATCCTCTTCTAGAACCATCACCACCGCGTATGGACTGGATTATTCAAAGCATGAAACTATGCACATCATAAAACGTTACAGAAATACAATAACCATAAACAGTTACTAAGAAAGTGGCTCATTATCTGAACACATAAATGCCTGAATAACAGAGAGCAGTCACAAGCAAGTTATGCTGGACATTATTGCTCAAAGTAAGTTTAGATTTTTCATTGTTCTGTTGAGAGTTCTGAGGTTTGTTCCTGTTTTTTCCTTTTCCAAGTTTAAAAAAACCCAGACGGCTCCTAGTTACAGTTAAGTTGCCACTTTGTTGTAGCCACCATCTTTGGCCAGAATAACTGGACTAATGTCTTGTGCAAGGTTGTGAACCAGCTCCTCACAAGTTTTCCCTTATTATTACAAAGTCAGGCTTATCTGTGATTCTTCTGCTTGGTCAGTAAGAATTCTTGAACCTCCATTCTTCACGGCAGCATTGCCTTCTGTCTTTGATAAATGGCACTTTGCAATAATTTTCTCACATTTGTAACTATCAAAATGTGTTATCCTCGACATTTACAGCTTTTTAAAAGTAAAACAATAAAAACAAAGTCATCTTGCTGTGAGATGAAGTACTGATGTTTTGGTGTGGTTGCCAGGTTTTTTGGAGGCTTTTTTTTGGATATAAAGCGCAAGGCTCCACACTACCTGTCTGACTACACCGATGCCATCAGCCTGCAGTGTCTGGCATCCTTCCTCTTCTTGTACTGCGCCTGCATGTCTCCCGTCATCACTTTTGGAGGCCTGTTAGGAGAAGCCACCGAGGGTCGCATAGTGAGAACATGATTTATATGCTATAATCTAAGCACACAAACATACACACATACACTTAAACAGACACAAACTGTAATGCACTTTCTGTATACTCTGCTGTAATGTCACCCATGACCTCTGTCTCTGTGATTTTCCCAGAGCGCAATAGAGTCTCTGTTCGGTGCCTCTATGACTGGGATAGCGTACTCTCTGTTTGCTGGACAGCCTCTCACTATACTGGGCAGCACCGGGCCTGTCCTGGTCTTTGAGAAGATCCTTTTCAAATTCTGCAAGTGAGTTTTGTCATTGTTTAACCCTGTTCTTAACTAATGTCTCATTGTGGATGCATCAGCATGTGAAACTGGAATTTATAGTTTAATATTTCTAAGCAATTAAAGGTGCAACTTATGTGTTTCTTCAGGGAATATGGCCTGTCCTACCTCTCCTTGCGTGTGTGTATTGGGCTGTGGACAGCTTTCTTCTGTCTGCTGCTGGTTGCCACAGATGCTAGCTCACTAGTGTGTTACATCACGCGGTTCACGGAGGAAGCCTTTGCCGCACTCATCTGCATCATCTTTATCTATGAGGCTTTGGAGAAGCTGGTGCATCTGGGAGAGATATACCCTTTTAACATGCACAGTGACCTCAACAAGCTCACACAGTACTCGTGAGTACACACAGAAGACATATTTTTGCTCCGTCAAATTTGTCAATGCCATCTTCACATCTAGTTTTTTAATATTTATAAGACGGTGGCATGATTTACTTCACTGTGATCTAAACTGATGGTGTGCATTTTCCCCTCAGCTGTGTGTGCACAGAGCCAAAAGAACCTAGTAACGCCACTTTGCGTTATTGGCAGGAGAAGAACATTACCAGCTCTGAAGTCGACTGGTTAGGCCTGGATGTCAAGGTGAGGAGAGGGCAAAAACATGGTAGTGGGCGGAAGCTTGGTCAGCTTACTGATGACTCACAACATGTATTTTGCCTTAATGCTTTTTGGTGTACGATGCTGAGTGCAATGTCCAGGGCAAACTGAAAATAGACAAATTTGAAAGGTTTGTGGACTGGCCAATAAAACCAAACTGTAAAATTTTTTAAAAGGGTAGACTGTAACGGCTATTTAAGTCACTTCAGCAACTTTCTTTTCACCAATAGTCAACTGTCATTAATCAGCGATTAATTGTTAACCGACAAGCCTAAAATGAAGCACTGAAGTCTGATTGACTGAGCCGCGTTCGAAGCCATTGTAAAATACTTGTTATACACATGCTTATGAGTGCACACTGCGCACTGAACTAAAAACGTTGACAAAATTATTTGAATATTTAATGATGGGCTACTGAAAGTTCTGTATTCTAAAGTTCTAAAGTTCTATTTACCAGTCATTAATAGCCCAAGTTCAAAAGAATGCAAGTCCACCACATCCTTCTCTGCAATTTTGCACACCCATGTATGCATCACACTTTCTCTAGGAAAACGTGAATGAAAAGTTGTCTGTCTTATTTTATGTAGATGTTCGCTTTCAATGTGGTACTTTATTGTTGTGCTGTCATCTTCTTGAAAAGTGGTCCTAAACACCATTTTTAGGTGCACACGTCATTTTTTTATAGGCCTATGTAGTAAGACCATTTCCCATGCGTACAGTCCAAAAACTTCCCTCAACTTGAATGTGGAACCCAAGTGGCAATACAAGCTTTGATCTATTCCATCCACGTTTATGTATGTGGTTGTAATGAAAGCAGATCAGTTAGTACCAGATTATTTCAGGTGTGTATGCTTCTTTACCTTTGATTGATCATCAGTCTTACAGTCAAGTCCAGTCTAGAGAGAGAATACTCAGCTGCTGGCACCTCCCAGAGGAAGAGGTGCTAAAGCTTTCACTGGATTTAGTAATCACTGAATTACAGAGAGAGATCGAGGAGAGAGAGAGAGAGAGAGAGCGATAAAGTGTAAATAGAGAGAGGGATGGAGGAACAGAAAGTGTTACACTGCATCCCCCCTCATTACTCTGCTACGGACATGTGTTTCCCGCTGGCTGAGAGCAGAAACTCAGAGCTTAAAAGTGTAAATCCTCTCCTGGTTCACTCTGGTTCATTCTCACTCCTGCTGCCTCATATTTTAGCTGCTGCACACACACACACTGCAGTAACACAGGAACTAATCCAACAAATCCCTATCCCTCCCCCTTTATTTCAGCACACTATTGTCATGATTTCATGTCTCTGTAGACAGGCACTCTTTTACTAAAATTAGTAAAGGATGTTTTTAACAGCAGTATGGTGTGGATCCTTTTTGCAGGGTTGTGTGCAGCACAGGGGAGAATTTCAGGGCAGTGCTTGTGGCCATCATGGCCCTTACATCCCTGATGTGCTCTTTTGGTCTGTCATCCTCTTCTTCTCCACTGTTGCCATGTCCTCCTTCCTTAAGGAGTTCAAGACCAGCCGCTACTTCCCCACAAAGGCAAGTGAGCATTTGTGAGCATTTTTTGCAAAATACAGTGTCCAAGTGAGCATGTTTGTGCTTTCTCACTTGCGCATGTCTGTCTGAGTCAGGCCGTGTCCTTCCACAGGTACGGCAAATCATCAGTGACTTTGCAGTCTTCATCACCATCGTCTCTATGGTGGGAATCGACTATGCTCTGGGAGTTCCTTCTCCCAAACTGCAAGTCCCCAATGAGTTTAAAGTGAGTTTACATCACACCAAAGTTGAACATGGCTGCAGTGTTTTCTGTACTGTGTTTTTCCATAACATGGTGCAGTGGGCCAGGGCCCACTGACTCGCCCAAAATGACAGCTCAAATGTACTTTAAATATTAAAGTCATATAAATAAATAAAGCAAAATCACAAATAAAAATGAACTTGTTTTATATTCATCTAGAATTCAGTTTTTGAAACTGACCAATCAAACCAGTTTTAACCAAAAGCCACAGCTATGAATGTGCTTGCTAAGCTTTTCAACGTCTGACTAGAACTAAAGTATGCAATAGGACAAAAACCTCTTCTAAGACCATATGCATTTAAAGCATATAAACATGACTTATTCAAAGCAGAAGGTTACCAAGTGGACCATATAATGTTGTGTAAATACAATAACTAGAAACAAGAGTTATCCACCTCTGAACATGGCTCCTTAAATACGAAAGCATTTTTGCAAAAATGTAAATGACGTTGGACATTTCACATCATAGATATAGTTAAGTTACTATTTACTATTTTGACCTCCTTATACTCCGCAGCCAACTAGAGATGATCGTGGCTGGATCGTCAGCCCTCTGGGACCAAACCCATGGTGGACAATAATCATCACCTTCATCCCAGCACTCCTCTGCACTATCCTTATCTTCATGGATCAGCAGATCACTGCTGTCATCATCAACAGGAAGGAACACAAATTAAAGGTAATTAAAGGTTAGTCTCATTCTTAGGATCCTAACTGCCTAACACGTCCTTAGTATGTTTACCCTCTGTGCATTTGTATATCCATAGAAAGGCTGTGGGTACCATCTGGATCTGTTTGTGGTGGGCGTGATGCTGGGGGTGTGCTCAGTAATGGGCCTGCCTTGGTTTGTAGCTGCCACAGTTTTGTCCATCTCACACGTGAACAGCCTGAAGCTGGAGTCAGAGTGCTCAGCCCCAGGAGAGCAGCCCAAGTTCCTAGGCATCAGGGAGCAGCGCTTTACTGGTCTTATGATCTTCGTCCTCATGGGCTGCTCTGTCTTCATGACCTCAGTTCTAAAGGTCAGTGATCTAAAATGTGAGATAGACATCTTTTTTTTTCACAAAAGGAATTTAGTGTGGTTCACTGAATTTGTTTTGTCTCTAGTTTATTCCAATGCCTGTGTTGTATGGAGTTTTCTTGTACATGGGAGCGTCCTCTCTCAGGGGGATACAAGTAAGTATTACTAGTACACGCACAGAACACGTCTTTGTTTTGTTGTTCAATACAGCCTTAAACATCAACAACCATAACTGAATAACCCCAAAACACATGCCATCAAAATAGCTAGAATTAATGTAGTCAGTTTTTAGTAGTCAGTAGTCAGAGTTTTATGACATGATATAACATATAACGTTTCCTGTTGTGCACAGTTCTTTGACCGTCTGAAATTGTTTGGGATGCCAGCAAAACACCAGCCTGACTTTATCTACCTGAGGCATGTTCCTCTGAGGAAGGTCCATCTTTTTACCATCATTCAGCTCAGCTGCCTGATCCTTCTTTGGGTCATCAAAACCTCCAGAGCTGCCATTGTTTTCCCCATGATGGTAAAGCAAGCTACTATTTATGTGTTGAGAGAGAAAGAAAGAGAGAAGAACAGGAGAGAAGTGAACTCTGATTTTAATGTAATAATTTTGCATGCACTACTGTGATGTCTGTGTAGGTGTTAGCTCTGGTGTTCATCCGTAAGCTCCTGGACTTCATCTTCACTAAGAGGGAGCTCAGCTGGCTTGATGACCTCATGCCTGAGAGCAAGAAGAAGAAACTAGAAGATGCACAACAAGAGGTACTGTGTCCTTTCTTTCCATCCACACTAAGATTGGCTGCACCCTTATAGCCTTGTCCAGTCACAGTAGAAAATGTTTAAACAGACTTAGTTTAAACAGATCCTCATGTTCATTCTGTTGTGTAAGTACCTAAAGTAGGCACGAAGGCAGGGATTGGGAGGAGGGAGTTATGATGAATATGTACAAGCTGGCATTCAGTTACTCAAATGTATGGTTTATATTAAGCATGTTCATTTTTATGATTTTACCAAACCAACACTAATCTCTTACTGAGGGTTTTGAATGACACTGTATGAGTGCAACACACCAAATCCAGCTTGGTGCTTACATAATTATACACTCAATCATCACATAATTTAGCCAGCTTGACAATATTACTGTTACAGTAGGCCTGTTGCAAACATGGCATTTTAAAAACTACCAGAAGCAAAATGAAAATATTTGTTACTGTGACTAGAAATAAGCAAAAAAGCTGTCTAAAGAATTTACCAGTCCTGACTTCACATCCAAGGTTGAAACTGATAAATCAAGTGATTGTCTGTTCCTTCTTAGGAGAATCAGAGTGTGATGGTGGAAGATGAGGGGATTGTGCAGGTGCCACTTGAAGGACATTACAAGTAAGCAAAAGGAACACTTTCTGGCAAGGTCTGGGGAATGGCCTTTCTGGCTTAAAACCATTTTTATGCTAGTTTCTTTGGACTAGACTTTACAAGGGAGCTCTAGAAAGTGTCTTCTGGAGTACATGTCTTTAGATGTTTTGAGACTTGAAACTGGCTCTGGTTGTACATTTCCTTGTTCCTAAAAAAGGTGGAGCAGTCCTTTAATCAGTATGCACTGCATTTTTCTGCTGTTTTAGAGATGACCCCTCAACAGTCAACATTTCAGATGAAATGACCAAGACTTCTTTTGGAAATGTCTGGAAAAGCCTCAACACAGACGATGGCAAAAAAGATCAAAGCGCAAAAAGGTTTGAATTGAGAATTCATTTTACTGTGTAATAGCAGGTTAGCAGTAAACAATCGGATTTCTTCAGTGCTGTAATCTAGGTCACAAAAACACTCTGGCACATGGTAGTGCTATTTTATCTATGTTCATATCCACTTGTCAGAAAATGATTATTTTAAGTTATCTTTGCCTTAACCTCAATATTGGAATGTATGAATAAGATTCTGAAATAGTAGTTGTGCTTTCTTGTACATCATTTTATGCTAATTTAGAACCACATTTTCCATTCAAATGAAGTCTTGCATTTTCAGTCTCTGTGCTGCTTATGTGTGAGTGTGAGAGCTAATCTGGAGCTTTATTCCCCATAAAGTCCTCTGAGCTTCCTTACTCACTCCTTGCTCAAACTTTATAAGCAGTTTCCCCAAGTATCTCTGGCATATCTTGACTGAACTTCTCATCCCATGTTACCCATTAGCTCCCTTTCCTAACCTCTCAGCAGCCGACTCTCCTAAGGTAAGGCTTGCCCCAAACTTTGTTTTTGCCCATGTATTCCTGGTCACTTTTATCAGCATCTTTTTTAATCACAATTTAGACTTTTTGTTATTTTTTCAGTTAATAAACTACTCCATACAGCTGTCCAACCCATCCAGAAGTGTGACACTGTGCTGCATTTATTCCTTTCCACCCTGCTGCGGCTGGCTGTGATTTATGTGTGGGTGTGCGTGTGTGTGTGTGTGTCTGTGTGTGTGTGGGTGTGCGTGTGTGTCTGTGTGTGTGTGGGTGTGGGTGTGGGTGTGTGTGCATGTCAAAAGTGTGTTGAGAATGTTACATGCAAAGCATGGAGAGGAAGGTGCATGAGTTTAGAGTCTAAGGTGAAGCATAAACTGTCACTCACTGCATTCATTTACTCTTAAAGGTTAACTTACCCTCCAGTCTTAGTTTATATCTCTATTATATAAAAAATACACAATGTTTTGGCTATTGCTACTCCGGGAGCAACAGAGACAAACACCAGTGTTAATTTCAGTATTGACACTGACTGACAGTTTGGTTCAGGGTCCTTGTCTACAAACACAACACTGGGGGTAGTACCTGATCAGCACTGTTCTGTTCACCAAATACAAGAAAATCCCAGACTGCATTAGCAGGGCTAAACCACAAGAGGCCAAAAACAGACAAGCTAGATGCTCAGCCAGAATATTCACATTCCAGACTTTGAATCCAGTTTCCAGTCCAGTAGGCAGCTGCCCCAGCATGAATGTAAATTTAATCTTAAGTTAGGGTGTAAAATTTAGCCTAAACCATACTGTGAGAGTAGACAGTTTAAAACTAGGTAAGGACTGGTACTACTGGCTATTGGATTTTATAATCACAAGTAGTCTGAACTGTTGATGTAACTGTTTGATACATGATACCTGACCAGAACATCAAATGACATGTTCTGCACTTAAAGCCTAAAATGTTTATACTTTTCATGTAAAAATGAATGAAAATTTGGGGTAAGTTAATCATTAAGTTCATACAGGGTAACAGGGAGCATCTTTTCATGACAATTTTGTTTGTATGTTTATTTGATGCTTGTGTATTTGAAAACGATTTTGCCTTTTTGTTTCCAACTCTCTGACACATTCCAGTTCTCCAGTGGAAGACATCAGAAGACCTGAGAAACCTGAGGAGTTCAAGGACAGGGACCTGGATAGGGAAACGAGCTTGTGACGTTTCAATAGCGTCATTTTGCTTTTTGAACACAACATAAAAGTATTGTGCCACAGTATAGCACCACTCTGTGTTTCACTGTATGTCACTTATGTTTGTGTGTGCCAGTCTGTGCTCAGGCACTTGCGTAACATTACATCTTTTATATGTACGTGTGTTCAGAGTGTTTGGAAACGTATGTATGCCAAGGAGAGGAGTGTGAGTTATCTTTATCCATTTTGATGATCCGATCCTGTGTCACCTTTAGGAATTTTACATTTTTGAAGTTACTTTTGTTTTAAAATAGTTGTATTTTGTATGTTTTGTATTTTTGGACAGTAGATTACTATCCTTTTCAAAATCCTTGTCTTACAGCATGAAAGATACGAATTGATCTATAACAGTATTTAAAGAATTTTCATTAAAACCTCATTAACACTTAGGATAAGCATTGTAACTAAATGTATTATTATTATTATTACAGTTGAAATCAAAGTTTTAAAAAAGGCTAAATCTAATATTCATTAAAAAATTATTTTCTGAGACGAAATACGTCGATATCAAGTAATTACAGTTCATGTTAATAACTGTGTAACGTCTGTCTTTGTGAATATGTTGAAAAATGAAACCAAGAATTTCGTTTACCACATTTTTTTAAAGGTATGTTGACCGATTTCTTTGTAATACCTTCCACAATAATGGTGACCAATATTTTTAAAAGTACTTTTATGAAATACTACTGTATGTTGTATTTTGTGATTTTTCTTGTTTTTTTAGATTAATGGTCTAAAATACTAAACATAATACTTTACACGTTTTGAACACCACGTAGGAGCTGATGCTGCATTAACATGCAAATACTGAGTAAACCTATATTTTGTTTAAACACTGCTAACTAGCACAATATTTAGTTATATATCTGCATTTTGCTCTTTTCACACTGGTTTAGTTTTCTGTAAAGCCATCATGTTGACGCTAAGAGGAACTTTCATGTCCTGACCAAACTGATTACATAACTGTGCAGGCAAGAGTCATACAGACGAGATGCAATAATCCTTTTCATAAGAGGGGCATTATATCATGTGTTAACTAGAGACAAATGACTATCATCTGTACATGCAAGTATGTATTTTGTTCACATGTAATATGTAATATATAAGAAAGTGTCTATTTAGTGTATAGATAGAACTAAAGTAGGGTGGGAGAGAGTGAATGTGTTGATGTCAATACTACTATAATGTCACTTGCCATTTTCCTTTGTTTTGCCATTTTTTTTTAAAGTTTTGTTTAAATATTGTCACTCACTTATGAAAAGAATCTGTGCAAATTGGAGTTAACTGTAATTAGTTAAATTACTACAAATTCAGCCTCATGTATTTATTCATTAAAGATGTATATGTATCGTTACAACTGTGGAATGTTCAGTTTTTCGTAAAACTACTTTAAGTTGAAGCAGGGGGAATGAGGATGTGCATGTCCTCTTTCTGAGGCAGCAGGAGTGCGAAGGATGTCATGGCGCACCTCTAAGCTGAGGTCTGTGAGGGCGAAGCAATACTGAAGAAGGTCTTTTGGGTGAAGCTTCACTGCTTCTTCCCAGCTAGGCATGCTTAGAGTGGCTGTAAGCCAGTCCACTGGCCTCTGTGTGCACGCTCCAGACCAAGTGTCCTGAGAGAGAAACAATATACACAGACTTCTTGTAAATTTACTACATCTATTTTATAGTGTTTTTTAGAGATTTGTCTTAGAATCTCGTGTCATAACTAAAGATGGCACCAGTCTGCTGCCAGGTATTGGTATCAGGCAGACATCAGCAGAAAATGCTGGAACAGATATTAGAGGGAAAAAAAAGAATGAATCCAATCCAGTCCTGTAACAAGTTTCACCTGAAACAGCACATATTCACATTGTGATGTCAGGTTGTTGGCTGAGTATTTTGTCCTGTGGGGCAGTAGAGTATTTGAGTAGTTTAAGCATGATAGCCTACTTTGAGGTGCTCACCTTAAATGAAACTCTTCCATTAAAAATGGCTCATTTTAAAGCTTAGTGATTTTAAAGAACAAATACTGGATCTATTGAACTTGTGTGTGTCTGTACACTGATCTAACCTGGCTCTGCCTGATCCACCTTTGGTCCAGTAGATTGCCCTGTTTCTCACCCAGCAGCAGAGCTTGCTTGAGGATGTTCTCTGCTAGCATCTTATTGCCAACCAGTAGGAACATGAAGGCCTTCAAATGCAGCACACGTGGCAGGAAGATGCAAACAGTGGCATAGTGCTGACTGAAATCTGAAAGATACTAAATGAGAAAACACATAAACATACATCTTTTTAAATATGACTAGGGCTGTCAAGATCATAGAATTATAGTATTTTAATGTGACCACATTATATGTCTCAATGAATGCATTTACTGCGTTCGTTTATTTGTATTTATTTGCATCATCCCAACCCACCTAATTCACATTTTGTTTGTTGTGAGATAAACTGATTGAGAAATCCAATGACTGCAAAATTATTGCAGTCAGTTTAAATAACTGCGATTATCTCAATTAAGTGCTTAATAATTTTGACAGGCCTAAATATGACATTTAATGATTGTTACTGAAGAATCTGTATCATCTATAAATAAAGATCTTTATCTTTAGATCTAAAATCTTTTTGAAATACAGTTCAAAGTACATTATTCAGTTAGGGACCATATAGTGACAAATATAAAAGTAACATAATACACAAAAAGAGTGACCATACACCCTTAAAAAATGATTCTCCAAGGTTTCCTTAGTAAAGGTAACAGTCATACATAAAGCCATGAACACAAAAAAATGTATACATTCTTTACATTAAATAGTTCTCGGTGATGGAGAACCTGTTGTATATGGTTTAAAATGATTCTATATAGCTATCATTACAACTTGAACCTTTTTTTCGGTCTTGTATACTCTTTGTGTAGATTTAGGTCCAGGTCATCTGCAAAGATTCGAACACTCCTTGTGAAATTACATGTTTAATTGATTTTCTAAGGGAAAATCATTTTTTATGCACAATTACTGTTTATTTTCGTAATTTAACATATTGGGGGGAAAAAAAAATTCCAATAAGGCCTGTGCAAATGTTACAGCACACATTATTTCACTTAGACAATCAACAAAACATTCAAACTTTTGCACACAACTGTATATTGCAAAGACAATGTTTACAGTCTGCCTCAGGTGTGCTGTCACTCTATAAAATTTAAATGACAGTGTGAGAAACCTTCATTGTTTTGTTGTAGATGGTCTTTGTGTGTTTGTTTTGGTCACTCAAGGCTTTCTTCAAAAGCAGGACACTGCACTCCAGGAACTTGACCACTCCACTGATGGAATGAATGGAAGCTGGAATCCCAACATAGATGCCATACGCTTTCCTATAGAAGTGTGCAACCTTCTCCCAATCGGCCAGCCGTGCATACCTGAACATCCACACACACACCTCACTCTATCAATAATGTTATCTCATTCAGCACTTCTATATTATATCTTTAAGATATTGCATGCATCAGAATGAAATGAATTTTATCTTTAAGGCTAGTTCTGAATGCTATCTGCTCATATCATATGTGAGTGTGTGTGAGGTGTGAGTTCTGACCACAGAGCAGGTGCAGAGTACAGATTTAACATCAGACTCTTGTCAGCCACCATGGTAGGATCTGACTCACACTCCTTCACGAAGGCCAAACACTCTTCAAATGGCCTGACAGCCAACCCTGAAACACACATCCACACACCTAATTACACCAGAGCAAAGAAAACATACAATACTAAAAATGATATATAATATATATATATATATACACACACAAACATATATATATATGTATATATATATATGTGTGTGTGTATATATACCGATCGGACATAACATTATGACCACCTCCTTGTTTCTACGCCCATTGTCCATTTTATCAACTCCACTTACTATATAGGTGCACTTTGTAGTTCTACAATTACAGACTGTAGTCCATCTGTTTCTCTGCATACTTTGTTAGCCCCCTTTTACCCTGTTCTTCAGTGGTCAGGACCCCCATGGACCCTCACAGAGCAGGTACTATTTGGGTGGTGGATCATTCTCAGCACTGCAGGAACACTGACGTGGTGGTGGTGTGTTAATGTGTGTTGTGCTGGTACGAGTGGATCAGACACAGCAGTGCTGCTTGAATTTCTAAACACTGTGTCCACTCACTGTCCACTCTATTAGACACTCCTACCTTGTCAGTCCACCTTGTAGATGTAAAGTCAGAGACAGTAGCTCATCTGCTGCTGCACAGTTTGTGCTGGTCATCCTCTAGTCCTTCATCAGTGGTCACAAGAGACTGCCCACTGGACGCTATTGGCTGGATATTTTTGGTTGGTGGACTATTCTCAGTCCAGCAGTGACACTGAGGTGTTTAAAAACTCCAGCAGCACTGCTGTGCCTGATCCACTTAGACCAGCGCAACACACACTAACACACCACCACCACATCAATGTTACTGTAGTGCTGAGAATGATCCACCACCCAAATAGTACCTGCTCTGTGAGGGTCCATGGGGGTCCTGACCACTGAAGAACAGGGTAAAAGAGGGCAAACATCTGCTAGGATATTTTTCCACACCTTTAAAGTTCAGTCTTATAAGTTGGTTGCATTTTTTGCTTATAATGACCGAAGCTTCTTTGTTTGATTTGCGAGTTTTTTCTTAAGAATAACTTGTACTTAATGGGCATTTTGACTGAAAATTAAGTAAATGAAGGGTGTTCTCTGACTTTTGCACAGCATAGTCATTTCCCTTTTCACCTGTACTAATTACTAGACACACATTGGGAAGTATGAGCATGTGTTGGTGATACACTTATTACAGTGCATACCAGCATAGAGCAAAAAGTCAAAGCAGGCAGCATAGAACCAGCCCTTAGCTACACTGATGGTCCCTGGGCGCTCCAGATTCTGGATCAGCTCCACACACTCTTTGTATCTGTTCACACACACATATGCCAACACAAATACTGAGTGGACATTTCTGCATTAATTTTTTTTGTTATAAACAAAGCATACACAAACACACACACACCTGTTTGTGAGGAGCAGGGGCATGTACAACACTGCGGTAGCCCACATGTCCAAATCAGGTCTGTTCAGCACCTTGATGACCTGCTGAGCTTGCACAGCTATCAAACACAAACAAGACATTAATCTTGAAGGGTGTTGTTTTTATTACCTCTTAGCTACATTAGCCTGTGACTTCAATACAAAACTAAACTCATGCCAACTCATTTAAAGCCTGTCTTGGGTCATAATGCATTTTAATGACAGAATTCACGGAATTAACTGATTTTATTTTAGTAATTGTCCCAAAAAACAAAAACAAGTGTAGGAAGTTAACTTACTGTAAGGTGTGTTTTTTGTCAGATTGTGCAATATTTCATCTTTTGAAATGTAATCATAATTTCTGAATTTCTGAATATCAATTTCAACCTGAGTTCAAAATGGCTTCACAACAAAAAATCCAATTGTTATAACTTTTTGACTCTATATTGCCTTACAAGATTTTTCCTACTTTCTTCAAGCTTTTTTCCTGAATAAGAGCAGTTATGTCTGATTAACATACCCAGAAATTTAGATGTGCCTCCTTCATAGTTTAATCATTTTTTAAACATGACATACTTGATTAAGAAGTACATCACTATAAAACAGTAAAATCTTAAACACAAAATAGCCAAAATAAGTTTTATAACACTCCAGAAGTTCTGTATCCTTTTTTGATATATAACATGTTGCTTTATTTCTTGTTGTTGGGGACCTATTATATACAGAATGTTTTGCAGCAGCAAGAAAGACTTTGAAAGTAATAAGAGCGCTTTTCATCACCCAGATGACACTTTTCAGCACTGAAGTTTTTGTTTCAGTTTTTTCATGCCTTTCCATGATGTGACCAAACGTGGCCAGGAAGTTTTGGCTAATTGATGTTTGTGATAAGATAAAAACTGTGTAAATCTGATGTTTCACTGAACTATAACCTTAAGAAAAGCTCTGTGGTGGAGGGAGGGAAGGGTTTGTGCTCACTATACTGGACAGATTGCTCCAGGTTCCCTGCACACAGTTTGACGATGGCAACACTGCGGGTGAAGTAGAAGATCAGCTCAAGTTCCTTGTCGCAGTATGGCTGTTGAGCCAACCTTCTGTACAGCAAGCGTTCATAGCGGCTGCACTTGACCTCATCACCCACCATCTGACTGTACTGAAAACAGTCTACGGTCGAGAAGAGCACCTGCCCAACACCACGGAAGAGACACATCACTTTTGGTGAGTTTAACATAATAGAAAAAATAAAACTATATAAAATGTACCATAACTTTTGCACTGGCCATATTTTATGTTTGATTCTTTCCAAGTATAAGACAAATAAACAGTAATTGTGTGTTAAAATGTGCAGAAGTTTGTTCTCTGCAGAGGAGGGTGTGTTAACTTATTTTCAACAAGAGGTGTAATTTGACGAGGCGTGTCCATTTCATCATTTACCTCCTCTGTATTTACCCCTCTGTTTTTCTGTGTATTGAGTATTTTTACAGTCAATCTGACCTTGAACTTCTCGGCACTGCAGGTGGCTGAGTTGGTCTCCATGGTGAAGGCCAGTGAGGCTCTCTTGGGCAAACGGCGCATGCAGCTGATCTGCCACAGGTGGGACAGGCAGCAGACATGCTCCTGCAGAAAGGCTTGCTCTCTCTTCCTTAACACGCACACACACACACACACATATATGTAACACACACACCAACTTCTTTCTTCAGATTCAAAATCTAACAAAATATGGTAACTCAGGGGAAGAAGCCCTCCAGTGTAATATGTTCTGCCCCTTATTTTCTCTCCTGATCAAATGATGGGGCCATTTTTTACTTAAAACATACAGGCATACATATAGGGCATATTCCAGCTTGAATGCAGAAAAGAGTATCTTTTTTTCTTGAGACAGCAGGTGTGGTGCAGTCCACAAATCATGCTGGATAGCCACTGTTTTTTTTTCTATAATAGCAGCTAATTCACTGCAGATCACATTCTTGATCTAAGAATGCTAAGCATTCTGGAGCACTGCTGTAGCTTAGCATGCTACAGATTCACAGCACAGGTTCATTCCAGCTCACTGAAAGCTTCACTGATGCAAGTTTAGAGAATCAAAAATAAAATTTTAGATTTTTTTCTGGTTTTATGTGTGTCGTTAGCTTAAACTACTTTTAATTACTTTTAGCACCAGAGGCCAACCTTAGCTTAGCGAGAAGGCCAAACCAGCAATTCCGGCTGACTTGAGGCAAGTTTAGAAGACGACTCAAATCTAAGCAAATGAAATCGAGTGGCCGGTGCTGGTAACAGAATCTTTCTGATTATTAACAGTTACAGTGCTAACTTTGTTCCTGTCCTGCCTTATCTGTTTAAACAGGGGTGGGGCAAGGAGGCATTTATAATTTGCATAATTGTGCATATTTAAAGATCTTCACGTTCTTAATGAGTGTTTAGGTTTAGGGATGATCCTATGCCACTTAACATTTTCCTGGACATAACAATGATTCATAAAAACATTTAACAATTTATTATTCAACATGAATTAGTGTGTTTTAATTTATGAGGTACTTAATTTAAAGTATGTTATCGTTTTTTCATTACGTGTCTTATTTATGTCTTGCCTCTCCCAAAATTTTTGGATCAACATCACATCTTGCATGATTTTATTCAACGCATCATTTGTAAAGTTTTACATGGCATGTTTTATATATGATATTATGATATTACTGTGCTTAGGCTAGAGATTAATTCAGTAATCACAACCTGTAAGTACACAATAGATAAATACATTCAAACGTGACTTTGATCAGAAACAACCAGTAAGTATTTATAGGCTTATTCACAGTTATATATTGGAGCAGTTTATTGATTCATAGACAGTAAAATTCCACAGCCTGTGTATGAATGTGAAAATGTTCTTATTAATTCAAACAACTGCTGGGTCTTACAGCTTTCGATTCCACTGCTCCATTAAATTATGCCTACATACAGCCTATGTTTCTGTCAATTTGTTGTAACCATGTCATGTTTAGTCATCTTATGTTGGTGTTAGAGAGTGAAAACGAAAACGTTTAAATACTGTTTCTGCTTGGAACAAACTGAAAGATGTTTTTGTTCTGTTTCTGAGCCATGATTTTTTTAGTATTTCATTTATGTAACTACCGTTTGTTCGTTTATGGTACTAACCCAGTTTCGCATGTTTACACGTATTAATACTTAATACTTGCAGACAATTAATACTTCATTAAAAAATAAAACATGCGGTCACTCTTCATTTCTGTATCAGAGGGAACGTGTGCTCATGTGGGACTGGAATATGGATTCTTACTGCGGGATCTCTAAGTCTTGATGTCTGTAGTGCAGATTCTTCATTTTCTCATAAATGTACTTCATGGAAAAGGCAACAAGGTTCCTAGGGAATCTCCTATTGAGGAGCCTCAGAGCTTTCACAAAATTCTTCTCTGCCTCTAGAATCTGTCCAGTGTTAAACTGTATCTAGGGAGAACAGGAGACAGAAAGATACCTGATAGAAAAGGTTCAGCAATACAGTTTGTGTTTGCATCAGTTATTATTTTTGCACAACTCTGTATAAATTCTGCCTTTATGTCACAACCCCTTATTCGTATATCAGAGTCTTACTAACCTTCAGTATCTTACCAGAAATATACAGAAGACAGTATATGAGCATCACATACCTCTCCTGTGAGGCGAAACACACAGGCTTTCTCGAATTCACAGATTTTAACCTTCACTTTTGGGTCTGCAGTCTCAAATGCAGGCTTCCCTGTCTTCAGATTCTTCAGAATGATTTTGGCCTCATTCAGAAAGGACAATGCCTACAACAGATTAGATTTTGTCACAGTTATGTCTAGGTTTGTAAAAATGCATAGATCTGAATGTAGTGATTCACCTGCACAGATACTGGAATGTTATAATTGGCTACAACTGACTAAAGGCTAATAATATTCAATGAAGTATGCCCTGATTTATAAACAAATAAAAAAAAATGTCAGGAAATTTTCAAATGTAAAAAACTCACTGCTTTTAATCTTCTGGAAAGGCTTTAAATTACATGTTGGGACATTGCTGATTGCATTGCATTTGACCACAAGAACATTAGTGAGGTCAGGTACTGATGTCAAATAGAATGCAGCTAAACACAGCTCCACAAGTGCTGGGGGACTATAAATCCCTCTGGCCGATAATTGGCATTGGGCATGGTGACCTTAGGCTCACGTGTGGCTGCTCCAGAGCATCCCATTCTACTTATAAAGCTTTTCTTTAGAGATTATACAAGCTACATATAGCATTACAAAGTATTCTTAAGCATATTGCGTGCAGTTTCATGTTTCTACGAGAGGGGTGACACAGTTGTCAGTACATAACACTACTTAACCCCCCCACAAAACAATATATAGACATACCCCACAGGGACGTTAATCAGCTCACAAACCTTTGGTCCAAAATTAGCCTTTCAGAGGTTTTAGCTAGACACACAATCTGCTCCAAGAGCACTAAACTATAGTTATGCTACCAAAATAAGAAGCTGACCCATGACTAAACAGTGGTGGGGTAGTTATGCAAAAAATGTGACTTTCTAATCTTTTATTGTTTAAAAGTGATCTTACCATCTCATAAACTAAATCTAGTGTGAGAAGGTGAAAGTAAAACACCGCTAGCTGGCTGCTGGGTGGAAAAACAGGCTACTTAAGTGACCGTTAAACAGGGAGTGTATTACTATGCAATGCAGAAATCACTACCATTTGTTGAAAGTTCACTTAAATCGCCAATAACGAGCCTACTCTCAATATTTACTTATGCGTCGCTTAGTTTAATGAACTTTTTGTACGCAGTTTTAGATAAGAAGTTAAAGAAATTGTTTTCTTGTTGATATTCAAATACTTCGCATAGAATAAAAAATGTCTCTAGTGATAAAACTCTGAAAATAACAATATGTTAAAATATGGTGTCTGTATAATACTATATAATACTCAGTCACCCTGTAAGGCCTGAAATAATAATTTGTCGGGACATTTTTTGAGGGAGTTTTTCAGACCACATATTCTGAATTTAACCAAAGCATTAAACTCCAATTGTACCATAGTGAAATTCAATTTAATATTATTGTTCATTTGTAGTAAACAGGATCATAGGAGTATCTTGAAGGTAGGAAATCACAGTACAATACAAACATACACACATACCCTCAGGTAGTTAGAAAGGTATACGCAGGCTGCCGCAGACTCCAGTAGGCAGTAGAATGCCTTGGACACATCTCCTACACCCATCCACTGTCTGACTAAGGGGATGAGCACACACTCCACCAGCTCAGCGCAACTGCAACTGCCCGTGCAGTCTATGCTGGCACGCCGCTCTGCCACCATTGAGTCCATCCTGGCCAGAAAGTTTTGCTCATCATTCCTGCCCACAGACACACACAAAGAGAGCCAGATTAATGATCCAGCTAGGACAATGCTTTTCTATCTCTAAGGTTCTCAGTCATTATTTACAGTTATCCATGTATATTCATTAATATGTGGGATGCGTTGTATCTTTACCCATTTTCTTCCATTGGGCATATCTGATTTGAAGGGACACTGTCTACAGAAGACATACGGAAACAAGACACAGTTATGTAATTATGCAATGTCAGATATGTGCAGTTAGCATGGTATTATCTAGAGGTTAGCTTGTTATAAACTCTATGCGGCTGAGTTGTGTGACCTCTGCATGGTCTCAGTGAGCCTGAGTTAAGCAGTATTATCTCACAGGATTCTTGAGTAAGATCATCATTGCTGTCAGTGATGATGCCGCCTACGGCTGCCTTATGTCCACATATGAACTCATCTCTGGCGCACTGATGGCAGCGGTAGGCCTGCTGCTGCAGGTATGTGGCGCACTTTGAGTGGATCTCTTTCTTCTGTTCCTTCAGCCATAGGTCATATGCTGTTTCCTTTACTAAAGATGTGCAGAAACACACCACTTGACACTTCCACACACCTGCAACTGAGGCCGGTTTGACCACATCTGCAAGATAAAGACTTATTTAGAAGAGACGAGGGCAGGACAGAGGCCAAATGAATGATACTAGAACCAGGCATATTTCATTAATTATTATTGACTACAATTGGATACGATCCTTTCTTCAAGCTATTTTACCCATAACCTGCAGAAGTGAGGAGTATTTTATAAGGTTAAAAAATATTGTAAATATATGCAGCGTAAAATTAGCCACCTGTGAAATTTAAGTTAACACACTTAGTGGTAAGAGTAACGTCTTGTTTAAAGATAAGATAAAGAAGTGGGCCTACTTTGCTCATGTTAATGCAACTGAATTCTCACACACTAATCTTCAGCTCAAGACCTCTGACCTGTGCTGCTGATGTGCTCGTTGCCTGCACAGTAGCAGCTGAGAATGCTGCAGCACTCTGCCTCTTTGCTCATGGGCAGTGAGAGATTCTTGTGCCTGGAGGTGCACTCAAACGTGCCAGATTTGAAGAGTGATACCAAGGACAGGTTGAGCTTCTGCTGAGTCATTTCGGGCACAATGTCCAGCAGCATCTGGGTGGTAAAGGTGTGGCCAATGATTGCAGCACACTTCACCAGCATCTGCTCGGGTGGCTGTAATTGGTCCAGGTGGGCTAGGGCCATGCCTGCATGTACAAACACACCACAAATGAAAGATAATAGACACACAATCCACCTTTTTTCCCTTCAAAATAAAGGCCTACTGACACTAGGGCTGCAACTTTTCCTTTTCAAATATTCTATTGAATATAATCTTGAATATTTAAATAGTCTATTACAATAAAAAAAGCTCAGGGCATGTTTTACCTTCAAATGAAAAAAAAAAAACATTTAATATTGTTGTTCTAGTTGTTACTAATTAATTATTTTTTCAAATACTGTAAACACTTATTATTAGTAGTAGTAGTAGTAGACTAATAGTAACATTATTGCACATTATTGCAATTATTGCATAATCTGTTTATTTTTTTCCATCTGCAATTAAAATGAATTGAAAAACTACAAGGTAATGACAAAATATTACTGATAAATAACTATTTTCACAGTTGCATTAAAGTGCTAAACTTGGGATCCTGACAAATCTGAACAGGTTGCTGTCTCTGTCTGAACAGCAGTCAGCGTCACAGGAAAACAGAGGAAACAGCGTCCTTTTAATGATCCCCTTAGAATGTAAACAACTTTTTTGGTTTACTCTTGTCAGTGAACAGAGGAGTTGAAGGTTTTTTAAGCTAAATGCTCAGCCAAGTCAGCTTTAACACCTAATGCAGTCTGAACAATTTTCCTACACCTCTGGACAGCTAGCTAGCTAGCACGTCCCATTTATTCTCTGTGATACATTCAACTGAGTACATGCTAGCTAGCAATCTGGAGATGTAGGAAACTTTTTTGGACTGCATCTGGCATTAAAATCGGTTGTCTCTTCAAACTATGAGAGTCAGTTCTGGCTTACATACTAAAGAGATCTGAACACAGCTCTGCATTATTTGATCTGTATGAGATACCAAGACCTAAACTGAGATTTAGTCAGCGTGGTTTATCTAAGACAGTTTCTCTGAGTATCATGAGCCATACCTTTTAAAGTGAGAGGGATTGGAACCTCCGCAAGTTTTGCAGACTTTCCCACTAAGCACACAAACGACTGTTCAGCAGGTGATCCGTCCAGTGCCAGGATTTTCCTTGTTTTCACAACAGAACATTTTGGCTGACCTACAGTGAACACATTTTTGTGAAAACACATTAATTATTCAACCACAAATGAGTGCATTAGGAGAAGCTTCCACATCCTGCTCTTTTCCTGTACTGCTCTAAAAAAAGTACTGAACAGTGATAGGGCAGGCTATGAAGTTGCAAGGACAGAACGGTGTTGTACTTGACCCTGAGAGAATGTCATCCTCCTGGACCTCCTTGTCCTGCCACACTTGGCTGGATCTGGAGTGATCCTGTGGGAACAGGATCTTCATATCTTCACACTCCTCCTCCTCAATGGCCTCAATCACTATCATCCTGCGCAGGTAGAGGCTCTTGAGTAGCTCTTCACAGTAGTACGGTACTCCATGACTCCTCTCCACCAGAAACCTGCACACACACAAACATACGCAAACAGATGCAAACTGTAAGATTTTGAATTTTATACTGTGGGTGAGGATCTCAATGCATTGCGTTTTGCTTTTGATGTGAATGGTAAGAGCTCTGTTCTTTTTTCGTGGGAATGCCATTTGATTTAATGCAACATTTTCCCAGGTTTGTAACTCAATCTTCAATCTTCCCTTTTTTTCCTTTCCCTTTTTCTGCTGTTCTTCTCATTTGTATTGGGTTTTCAGAGGGTTTCAATAATATCAGTGTTTACCAGGTCAATCCTTTATCAATATACAGAATCTGGACAAGGCACATGAAGGAACAGAAGAAGAAATATCCATTACAATAAAGGTCCAGTGTTTAAATACCCAGCACTCACTATGTAAGCATCCATAGCACTCACTATTCACATTCTCCAAAACTGTGGTAGACTTGTAATGCAGATTATATGTGAGTTTCTCAAAGGGTAGTAAATTATCTACCTGTATGAGCCACATCCTGCTTGAGAGAACTTCTAGCTTTGACTATATCAAAAGTGTCTACATCTAAGATATACATATACATTCAAGATATTCATATACATATTCAAGAGACATTGGACATGTCAACAAATTCTTTGTTACTCATTTGTATAATTTTGTGAACCTTTGCAATACGTTTGAATCTTTTTTCTGCTGTTTCTCTCAATACCTACAGTTTTACTTCGTTTGGGATGTGGACCACACTGAGTGCCTGGCAGGCGAGCTGGGCGATGACAGGCGGTTCCAGGACCGGCAGTTTAAGGTAGACAGTGTGAGGCAAGCAAATGATACGCTCCATGTCAGGGAAAAGACCATTGGGGCTGGCTTGAGGCAGCAGAGCCATGAACATTAGCAGAGAGGCCTGCTGACACACCTCCAGCAGAAAGCTCCATGATGCCTGGTCCACAAAGTGAGCCTGGTCTATCACATACACACACGGCTCCTTCTCCACCAGCTGACAATGAAACAAAACAACACATACGTACTTTCACTGTAGAAAAATTTTTGGAGAAAAAAATGATTTTATGTGCTTCTTTTATCCCTTCAATTACTCCTCAGAGCAAACTACAGATGTATTAAGGATATCTTTTTGTTGATGTTTCTTTTCCGTAGGCCGCTTTCATAAATGTACATAAATTACATATGGGTCATTCCCTGAAAACAGTGGCATTTGGGTCCACAATATGCCCTATTTTAGGGACATAAATCTGCTAATAAGTGTTTTTTAACTCTGTGGGTCATTGTGAGTTGCAAAGGGATTGGAACCCCTGGTTTATACAGTCATTCAAATTCCATCTCCAATATTACTAAATAAACTTTTCCTTTTAACATCAAACCTTTGACAGGCTCAGATGTATATCTGTTTCCACATAAACAGTACAAACAGAAATTTAAAATAAAACATTAATTTGAAGTAAAACGTAGTACTAATCGGTGTCCCTGTGTTTTGCTTTCCACTCTATCACACCAACTTATAATTAGCCATGAAAATAACCGTCACATTAAATCAGTAAATGACATCTTTTAAGTCTTCAGGTGAGCAGAGTAAAATGCTTTTTTTCAACAGTGATACTTGTTGATAGTTGTTATTTCCATGCTTGACAAAGTCTGCCAAGCATAACAGGTCTGCCTCATCATGCAAAACAGACAGAGAATATTAGTTTTCTTGCAAAATTCACAGTAAAATCATGTAATTGAATAACTATTCAAATACTGATGTTTGGAAGCCAATTTGATATTTTTACAATACTGACCAAATTACTTCAAAATCCCTAGTATCGAAAAATTCAGTCTCATTCAATGCCAAATCTTAAATAACTAAGTAGGTCATTTTATTAATGTCACAGACCCAACAAGCAACTTGTTGCAAAATCTAGACTAGTGATTGGCTGTCTAAATTACATGCTGTAGGTATGGTATTAACAGCAGTACAAAATACAAATACAAATAGCAATTACCCCACTACAAAATGTTCCAACACTTCCAATTACAACACTTCTGGCTATGATGCTATGACTGAAACTTTTGGAATAGATTTTTGTGACCTATTTGAGTTACAAAGGTTTGAGTTACAAAGAATTAATGTTAAAAAAGGAATTAAAATTAAGATAAGTCCAAAAAAGTGTATGTGTCATGTAAAGCCTTTTGCAAACATTGAGCTGACCTTGCAACATAGCTGCAGAAAGTACCTCCTCATCTCCTTGCTCTTAGTTTGACTATCCATGAGTGACACTGAGAGTGAGAGTGGAAACTACAAACAAAAAATTTAAAGAATATGCAATGTGTAAAAGGACATGTAACGCTATGAGTGATTATTTCCATCCAAACACAGCACAAGATTCAAAATGCAGCCCATTACAGCATTTAGAGGCTCTAGTCAAGAGCCCTCAAACATCTGTGACTGAATTGCACCCACCTTGACTTTAAGGATGTCATTAAGAAAGCAGACATTTTCTCTAAGCTCTGGATCGTGGATCTTTGAAAGGATGACCCTTTCTCGCTCTGCATAGCCCTTGCAGTCCTGAATAGCAAGCAGCAGAGCCAGTACTGTCTGAAGTGTGTAGTTTGATCGCTTGATGTCTGGCTTTGTCAGTTCAAGGGACATTACCCTGAGGTGAAAAGTATTTGTACGTGGCATCTAAAGTGCTTACTTCATACTATAACATAATCATACTATAACAGCTATCACGCTATCTTAAGAGTTAAACATTAAACTCCAAATTGTTTACAAACAATAATCCTCAAATTACAGTAGGGTTAAAAAGTTAATAGATAGACTGAAATACAAACCTAACCTTCTCCTTGGAGGCTCTGTGAACTATTTCTGCCAGCAGGTGGCTCTTTCCATAGCCAGTAGCTCCTTCAAAAATGATTACCTTATTGTAGGTCTTAGCTACAGAGCTCCTTGCTTCCAGGAAATCCTTCAAACCTTTGAAATAAACTTCCAGCTCCTTCTGACGCCCTGATGACCCAAAAGATGCCATGTCATGTGTAAAGTGGAATAACATGCTCATTAACAATGGTATTCCTGAAGTCAAGCCTGTTTGCAAAAGCAATGTGCCACAAGAGCATGTTTCACTCACCCAGGAGTGGATAGCCCTCTCTTCTCTGGAATGACATGGGTGCCTTACCGACAAGCCTGTAAAACAGTTCAGGTTTCTAGGTTATACTGTTAAATACTTGTTGTTACTTTAATACCTTGGTTTGCCACTCTTGAGTTCTCCATTTGGAAAAATACACGTAAGGCCAAGTTTTGTGTATAAAATCTCTGGTATAGTTAGCTTCAACGCATTACAGAACACAGGGTGTCTGGAATCAAGAATGCTAGTGGACTGATTTAGTTTAAATCATATTGAAGATGGATTAAAGAAAGGAATTTTGTAGATGCCTTTGAATGAGTTTTCCTACTTATGTTTTTGTCAGGAAAAAAATAAACATCTATTTCTGCTTTTTAATCAGCTCTTCTCCTACAAACCACCAATTTGAGCAAAAAAAAAAACAAATGCATAGCTAATATACTTCGCACTTCATTGTTCTTTTATTGTTGCTCTGATAAAGCAAATCAATAATACTCTTAGCAAATCCAAATTCTGTGCTGAATGTGCACAGAAAAAATCATAGCGCATCCAACAACCAAGTCAGTGTTTTGCTTCTTTCTTATAGTGATAGAAAATGCCAAAGCTTTTAGTAAATTCCAATTCCACATGCTGATACATTTTAACACGTCCAATATAGACCACTGAAGTCATGCATTATTCTGTAGTTGGCTTTATGCCCATATTTGGAACTCCCGGCCTAAGCTCTAATTCTCTATGGCAAAAATCAATGGGTTTTTCTAGAAAATTTCTCTATCTCGCCCTGTGGTAAATAAAAACGTTCAGAATCCAATACGTTTTGTCCTGTGTATGTATTCCTCCTCTATATCACTGGATCCTCTGAATTACAAGTTTGTTAAAGACTGTAATACTAATACTAATATTGCTATATTTATAGGTAGCACTATACATAAAATTTCTAGGTAGGATATTCTGATAGCTTAAATCCCCTTAGCAAAAAATACTATGAGCATTAAAACTACAAAGCTGTCAGCTTCTTATTTGCCAGCTTTTTGTTTGAATTTTCCCATTCCACCTTAAATGCTGTAGCAGTTATTTTTATAATGCCTCAGGCACCAGAATATAACTTCTGCACCATTTAAGGTGGAATGGGAAAATTCAAACAAGCAGCTGGTGAATGTCCTTTTCAGAAAATGTTACCAGCATTAAAAGAATTAGAATATTTCGATACCCTAAGTCAGCTTATCAAGGGGTAAGTAGCAATATTAGCCTGGGTTTGTACTAAATTAACATTAAAACACACTAAAATGTTTAAAACACAGAGTTACTAAACTGTACTAATGATTTGTTCATGCTTGACAGCACCACTGGATGGCTAGGGCAAACCATTAGAACATGGGCTATGGTGGTCGTTTCACTCTGTAGTTTGTCAGCCTTCTTCAAGGATGACCAGACGAACAGTAAAAAAGGTAAAAACCACTTTCAGTCTTACCACACTAGCAAACTGTGCTGGTTTGCGCATTTTTAAGGTGGCTGCCTGTCTAATGATGTCACTTCAGTGTGCAGTAGCTCTAGCCTACATGTAGAAATATTCATATTTCGACTCTTTGATGACCTTGTAATTCAGAGGATCCAGTGACATTCAAGAGAAAACTGTTCATACGACAAAATGTATCAGCTTTGAAACATTTTTGATTACCACAGGAGGAAGATTTTTGAAAACTCAAATTCATTTTTCTCATAGAGAAGTTCATTTTAGACATGCCAACTAAAAAATGAAAACATGATGTCAGTGATCCATGGCACGCAAGGCAGCAGTTTTAATGTGTAGGAGAGGACTTCACTAAAACCTCTGAATGTATTGCTGACAAGTAAGCTCATTTGGCTATGCTTTTGGATCTCTATTTATATAAATCTGTATCAGATAGAATGTACAATCTAATATGCTTACGTCTGATGTCTGCTGCCCATGAACTGATATATGGGCCCCGGGCGGCACACACCCTTCAGTGCTTTCCTGGGCAACTCAGTGAAGTAAAAAGAAGGCAGTCTGGAGAAGACGCATGTCTCATTGTCACATGACACCAACCCTGGGTAATACATCATCAAACGGGCTGCCAGATTTACTTTCCGTCCAATTACTATGAGGAACAAGAGGGACACAAGAACAGAGTTTAGATTCAGAGGCCAGAGAGCATTAGGATGTAGGGGACGTGAGGTACCTTACCTGTGTATTCATGCCTCAAAGGATGGCCCATCACACCACAGAAGACTGGACCTGTAGTCACACCTACTGATATAGTCCTATAGCAGGGCACATAGGAGAAACCAAATATATTCTTAATTTTAACATATATTAGTAATGAAAAAGTAATCTTGGGATACATCATGACATGTTTGCACAATTTAAAGGGCAGCTGTCATTTTGAATTGGCGTAAATAAAATTAAGAAGTGAAGTCATTAGGTTTTTATATGACAGCAACTATATACAAGTGTATGAAATGAATCATGCAGTTTGCAATTCGGTTCGAAGCTGCTTGCTATGCCTTACTTGAGGCTCTTGATTTCTTGGAGGCAGGCTTGGTGTATGCTGTAGGCAGCCTGCAGCGCATGAGCACACTCATCTACTCTCTTATCTCCAGGCAGGCCAAACAGACACAGGAATGTACAGCCCTAAAAGCACATAACAGAACCCTGATAAATCAGCACTTGCAGAATTTAGATTCAGCTTTAGAGAATGACAAAAAAATGGCATGTGTCTTTGTAGGAACTTTGTGTCTTTTTTTTGTCTGTGAGGAAAAGGGAACTCTGTAAGCTCAAATGTTATGTACACTTTACAGTAAAATTAATTATGCTCAACTTCTTAAACTCCAAAGAACCTGCATTTCTTACTCCTATAACTTAAAAATACCTCAGCTAGATCACATGTAAATTTTCCAAGTAATTACTAAACAATAATTACTACAAATAATTATTTTTATTGTATTAAATGGTATACCATTTATATGGTATTATTAAAAGGTTAAATAAATAGTTTAACAGTTTACCTCTTGAGTTTTTAAAAGTTGATTTTGGTATTTTTTTGTTAATTATCAGTAATGTAAAGGCACCAGTTGGTCAAATCTGGAAAACTTGCCTTATCGAACATGAAGACCTTGTTGATTCTCCCGTGGTGGAGGAGCATCTGTTGGCCGATGCTGATGGCTGCTTTGTGAATGGCGACACACTGTGATATGAGCTCCATGTCGCATATAGCATCTTCAAACTGCAGATTCACAAATACAATAGTGGCAGGCCGCATCTCTGACAGGTATTCCAGTGGCTGGTTGTCATCTATCTAATGGCAAAGGCAGAAAAACCATATCCATGTCACATGAATATTACAGTAATGTAATGCATAAACTTCTAATGTATTAATCATGCACTCACCTTTGGCAAGACAGTTTTTATTACATATTTCCGCATGAAATTCTCCCTCTCATCATTAGGTTTTAGTGTGGATGCTTTTCTTAAACAACCTAAGAAAATAAAACAGTCAGACTCATGGATGCAGCATGAATGGAAACGCATGTATGTTGCAATTGATATGAGTAAGTAAAATCTGTTTTACTCCTTTGAAGGATTTCATGTTCCACATTTTTGCCCAGCTCTTGTAGATAATTTTCCACTGAGAATTGAGGTACTTGCTTGATGTATCGCACCTGTATCAAAATTTTAAGCATTGGTAGTAAGTACAGCTGGGAAAACTGTTTAGAAATTTATGTCTTGAATCCAGAAATTATTTCCTTATTAGTCAAATACGGGTGAAGACCAACCTTGACAGGTCGTTCATTCTCAATGTGGTCAATGGCAAGGTTCTGTCGGTTGCAGAGCTCCCATGCATTCGGAGAGAGAATAACTGTACCAGCCACTGCCAAACTCTCAGCCAATCGAACCTCATCCACAGCTCGGCCAATCACAACATAGTACTGACTGGTCTTGTCTCCTACAATGACTTTGGAAAGTTTCCCTGCTGAAATGCCTATAACAGACAAAGAAGGTAAATGCTAGATTAGCATTTCGTCACATCAAATAGAAAAAAGATGTGTAACAGTACACAAATTTCACATACATATCATAGTTCTTGGGCGATGATACATTTTCGACACAGAAGTAAAAAAGAAACGCCAACAAGTTAATATGCATATTGTGACATCCCAAATGGAAAGGCACTGCTGTCTCTGTGATGAACTAAACCAGCACCTATTTTGACACGTAGCTGGCAGCCAACTTCTGTCTCCCGGATCCCACACTTGTCCTGAATGTTGAGACCACATCTGATGGCCAAAGTTATGACCTCACTCAGCTGCGACCTCTCCACTGCCCACAGAGCCAAAATAGCATCACCTGGAGATAATATCATGCAACATCCATGCACTGCCATATGTACGAAGACAGTACTATGCAAAGGTTAGAGACCACCCTTCATTTATTTAATTCCCAGTTAAAATGCCCATAAAGCACTTATTTATAGTAATTATTTATTTATTACAAGATATTACTGAGGAGATGAGATAAAGACAATCCATAAGCACATGGGAAAAGCCAAAGGGGGAAAAAAAAAGGAATTTCCAAAACTGAACTCAAAACAATTATTAAAAGATACAAAGAAAACAGAATTACTAACAACCGTACAAGACTTTGTAGACCAGCAAAACTGTCCAGAACTGTCCAAAAACTGTCCAAACGAGTCCAGACCTCAACATCAATGAATGTGCTTGGGATCATTTGGATCGTGAAAAGCAGAAAATGCAACCAAATCCAACTGAAGCAAAGGGTGGATGCCCTAAATAGCAAAAATGTTTATTTAGTAGTTGAGTTAAAATACATTTGAAATTATTCTAAAAATATTTCATATTTATATATAATTATGAACATTTTCTTCTTTTTTCTTGATGCTGGAAAGCGAATAACTTGTTCTTAATGGCTGTTTTGATGGGAAATTAAAAAAAATCAAGGGTGGTCTTTGATTTTTGTGTAGTACTGCATGTTTTCAAAAGGTTTCTTTGTTAAAATACAGATCAGTACCTGCATAATTTAGAATGTCACCCCCGTCTGCAAGGATCTCTGTAACAGAACGGTGTATGGCAGAAAGACAACTGTGTCAAAGCATATTATGAAATCATTAATAGAAGCAACTACTGCTGGGGATTCATTGTCTATTCCAGTTATCAGGTTATTCACATTCTGTGATACTGTTTCTCAGTTTTAGCAAGTTTTTTAGTAAATTATTTGATAGATACATATATACATACATACATCATCTAAACTGCTTATCCTTCTGGGTCGCGGTGGGGTGCTGGAGCCTATCCCAGCTGTCATTGGGCGGAAGGCAGGATACACCTTTGCATGTTCTCCCTGTGTCTGCGTGGGTTTCCTCCGGGTACTCCGGTTTCCTCCCACAGTCCAAAAACATGCGGTTAAGCTAATTGGACATGCTAAATTGCCCCTAGGTGTGAGTGAGTGTGTGAATGTGAATGTGTATGTCTGTCTGTCTGCCCTGCGATGGACTGGCGACCAGTCTTCCGCCCAATGACAGCTGGGATATCTGATAGATAATGAACAGTATATCCACTAGTTTTCCTGTTGCTGAGCGGTTTGTTTTTAACTTTTTAAATTATATTTTGTGTGCTTTACACAAAGTATCCAGGACCTGACAGTTACCTGCAAGGTACATCATTAGCTGGGTGCTCCAGATCGTTTTGAAAGAATAGTTCAAAATACATAAGAGCTAAATAAATAGTGGGTTTCCTTATTCAGGGGTTCCTTAACTTTATTATTGCAAACTAGATATCATCTGATACACTGACTTTTTTGGAAATTATTGTGATGTTAAATATTAAACACTACCTGCTGCCCAGCAACGGAAGAGAGCATCAAGTCACGACTTACGGCTAACAACGTCTCCAATGTAGCTGTTGAGTGTATGAGTCAATTCATCTGCCCCGTAATCTTTCTTACTGCTGAGACTGAACTTTTCAGTTAAGGCAGTGAATCCTAAAATGAAAAAAAAAAGAAAAAAGTGTTGCAGTTTTTTTGTCATGCACGAACATGTACATAAACAAAATCTTGTAAATAAACAATCCCTACAAACCAAATTCAACTGATTATAATGAGTAGTACATCATCACTGTCCAAACAAAGTATCTCCAAAATGGAAACTTTACAGAAAAAGGCAAACACCTGCATTTTTAATATAAATTAATGTAAAGAGAATTTATCCCAAGCAATTTTGGACCATTTCTGTTGGTCCAATCGTCATGACATTTTCACACAATGTAAAGGACAGTTGCTGAGCTCAAATGACAAACCTGGAGTTGATGATATCTATATTACTGCCTTTTTTTTGTTGCTGTTGTTTTCCACATAATTTAAAAAATACCAGCTGTCTGTTACATTGTGTGAACATTTCATGATGAATTGACAAACAGAAATGCTTTACTTTTTACAATGATTTCAAGAAGAATGACCAAAAAGGTGGAGCGCCTGCTGGGCATTACTGCCTGTAGCACATAGTTCAAAAAGACAGTTCTTCAAGGGCTTTAGCAAAGAAAATGGTTCTATATTGAACCATGAGCACTCAAAGAACCTTTTGCATGATTAAAGGATTCTTTGCATCATGAAAGTGTTCTTTAGATTGATGGAAAATGTACATAAATGTGCTACAGATGGTTCCATATAGAACCTTTTTGAAAAGAGTTCTATATAGCACTAGAAAGGGTTCTTCTATTGTTACAAGCTTGACATCGTAACAATAAAAGAACCCTTTCAGGTGCTATATAGAACCCTTTTCAAAAGGGTTCTATTCAGAACCATTTGCAGCACAAGATCTCAAACCAAGCAGTAATGTTAATCATTTTAAACAGACCATTCCAAGACTGTAATTTCCTTTTGGCAAAGTATTCTCTCAAACAAGCTGGTATGTTTTACATTATTATCGTCTGAGCAGTTTCTTTGCAGATTTTCTGCACGTTTACATCCAAAATGCCTTTGTATTGCCCTCCTGATCCCACCAATGAACACAAACTTACCAACAACACTAAGAAAAACAGCCCCAGACATTTCTACCTCTTTGCTTTTGCGACTGGTGTGCTACAAGCGTTTCATTGATAGCTACAAAAATATTTTTAAACATTTCATGAGGTAAATGGTGAAATGGTTAGCTAGCTAGCTTAGCTAACTAACGTATCCAAATACTTTCGAGGCCACTGTATGTTTGAGTTTAAACAAATTTATCTAAAACAATTCACTATCACCTGTCTAGAACTTTGAGCATTCAGTCATTTTAGCTGAACGGTCATTCACCTCACAAGACATAGGACTTACCTGGCATATAACCTGACATATAACTTATAACCTATATAACATATAACATTATCTAAAATTACAATCATATATGACCGTACAGTTTATAATACTATATTGATAAACTGACCATCACCAAGAAATACAGGTGTTTTGTTTAGCATCAAGTAATCAGACGGCTAAGCTCACAAGCTAGCTAGCTAGCTAATCTCATTAAAACTAACCAGATATATCTGCAAATAGCAGGACGCCATTGAACCGTTCAGCATAGGGGGTCTCCCTGTCCAGAGAGCTGTACACAACGATATCGGGGACGTGTGCGGCTATTCTGCCGATTTTATGCGAACTTTGTACCTCTTCTTTTACTTTTAGCATGTTAACGTTTTCAGTCAAGCTAATAAAATCCCAACGGTCGTTTTTTCAGTAACCGTTCAAAACGTTCAAACGTTCTAGAGCTTAGGAAAGCGCTCGCGCGTATTTTTTATATGCGCAGTAACATGTTTACTATTGACTACAGCAAGCTTAATTAAGAATGTCTGTCCGATCATATAAGATGGATTTATTTTTAAATGAATGATCAACGCTTATATTTACGCAGCCCTGAGTTCTTTTTAAACTCCACCTGACAGGCTGCTTTGGTTAAACAAGCGCCAGTGTTATTCTCCTCCAGCCTGTGGCGCTCTCTGCACTGCGGCTGGTTGCAAACTTTGTGCCACGAAGAAGTCTGACACCAGAGATGTTTTAAAGAGGTCGAGACAGGTGCTGCGTTCAAAATCACAAATTACCATACTAAATAGTATTTCGAAAGTAGCAATCCTCTGAAGTCCATTCATTTGTTTAGTATGTATAGTACAGTACAGTAGTGTGTCGTTTTGGACGCAGCTAAAGTTTGTAAATGCTTAAACATTTTTTATATAGAACAATGCGTTCATTTCCTGAACACAGAACAACACAAAACATGTTAACATCGCTGTTATATTTTGAGCACTTTTAACTCGTTCAACAGTGCCTGTCGCTACCTGACCTGTATCCCTTGTTGGATTTGCGCAGCACATGTGCACGACACGTCTCGTATGTCTACACTGCTTTATATTTACAACGATAGAAAATATTTTAACTTTTCGTTTTTAGCCGTTTCGCTCCATTCACTCCCATTCATTGAGGACTCGTTCGGGGGCGCCTTCTGGCGTTTAGCAGTCATTTTTTTTGCGGCAGAAATAGGAAGTGGCCAGGCTTCCCTTAAACCAGCTTTGGTAGAGATACAACAGCAACCTTTCCCCGCTGATTTAGCTTAAATATACTGAAAAATAGGAAATTATGTTAAATACTACGTATTCTTTCAACCTCCGTTATAACTGTAATTTAGCACAATCGCGTACTTTCGTCAGAGGAAAGCTTTTACTGAGGTCTGCAACTCACTCACAGTAGATAGACTGGATTGAGTCTGAAAGAGTACCATCTCGGTGACCTGTTTATCTTTGCTCAAACTCCAGTTTTCGCGGGGTGTGTTGAAAGGAGTGCTTTCCGTTCTGACTTCTCAAACAAACTAAAAAAACGATAATATACATGTGCGAATATTCGTGTTCGAGGAATATAAATGCCCAGCTTGATAACTCAACAAGTGCTGACGATGGACTTGATGGAACAAACCGAGTATAAACGTTGTGAGACGAAGTAAGAGATTTGCTCAGACCAAGACCTCCCAGACTATCTGACTAGCAGTGTTAACTGTTTGGATATGAAAGCTGTGAGTCAGAGTAGCTTAATTCATTTAACGTTACTTGGATTTAAGGAAGTTGTATTTGAGGAGAAAGGATTAGACGTTTTTTTCGGTTTTATTTAGTCATTCTCAGTTCTTTGTGTTGGATTTTATTCTGTTGGTGACAGAATCTGGACTGCTTTACTTTTACTTTCGAGCTTTAGTATTTAACTTTAGACCAAACTTTAGCTGACATCTGCGCTGATGTTAACTAGGTGAGCCAAGATGTCTAAGTAGCTATGTTGTTTTTAAAGGGGAATTGCACTAAATTTTTTTTACAAATTTCTGAATAACTCAGTCCTTGAGACGTAAACAGAGTCATTCAGAGTGGTTGGTGTGAAGTGGTTCATTGTAGAGAAACCTGTTGACTCAGAGTTCTTCACAGTGGTGGTGATAGGAACCAGGGGTCGCCATGTCTGCCACACAAATAGAGCCATTTTATTTACTATCCAAAACAACCAGTGAACCTATACGTGCCTTATGAGTTTTTATTGCTATATAATGTTGATGATGGTAAATTAGTAGTAATTTGAAGAAAAAAGTTTTCTTTGGGGACTGTTTTGCCCTAAATCTACCCCTGTGCCATAAATGGATTGAAATAAATGGATTTAAATAAGTTTTAACGCAAAACTTTAACACAAAACTATCATGAAACAACGTGTCAGACATCAGGCAGTGTATATCTAACCATTTCATGTAATAACTTTCTGTTAGGGAACAGAGGCATTAAACTCTTCAGACAGCTGGTTCCTATCACCACCACTGTGAACTATTCTGACTCTGTAAGTTTCTGTAGAATGGGGCATTTCACACCAAGCCACTTTGAATGACTTTGTTTACATCTCAACCATTTAATTACATAGAATTTTTGAAAGGTCGGTGAAGGTCCCCTTTAAGCTGATTATACTGGAGCTTACATGTTACAGTAAGTTTTACTTGAGGATGGCTTTAGGCCACTCTACCCACCTCTGTCAGTCTGCCATGTTTTAAGATGGTCATTATACATTTTTAAGTTATTCAAATTCTAATTGATGTGTAATTCCTGGAATAATGTAGCTTTGTTAACAAAGAGATTTTAAAATCTATCCTAAACCAAATTAAAAGTAAATAACCAATTGGCACTGCAGTTTTCAAGCTTTATTTTACAGAGCCCACACAAAGTGTGTGTGGTAAAAAAAAGGAGATTTTGTATTCACTTGAAATAATTTTGCAATTTTTTTGCATTACCTCGCAGTAATTCTGCATTGTTTTGACATAGTTTTGCGTTCCTTTGCAGTTATTTTTACATTCCGTTGCAAATGCAATGGATTTTACAAGATAATGCAAAACTGTTGTGAAGGAATGCAAAACTATTGCTCACGAACACAAAACCTGTGCAAGGGAAAGTAAAAATATTGCAAGGGAACACAATGTTGTTGCAATTTTTTTTCTCCCAATGACACTTTCGGGGCTTACTGGTATTCTGTATAATTTCTGGGTGAAAAACTCGATTCCAGTTTTGAAAAGTTATTGTATCACTATATTTCAAATCTTTGTTGCCTAAAATGCACTACTTTACCACTGTACTGAAACTGCATGGCAGATTATGTGTTTTTGTATGCTGCAATTGTGACTTAAAGGTTTTGGGGAAAAAAATAGATTTGGGAATCTTTCACTGAAAAATTTGGTGTCTGAAGTTTGCTTTAATTTAGTCCTGGAGTGAAGCGTCTCTTGGCTTATTGACTACATCTGGGTAAGGAGAGGAAATGATGTAAATTAGATTTTTGGATGAACGGTTCCTCTACATTTTAAGCGATCTTGTGGTATAAATGCTCCATGTTTTATATGTGTGTGCATATATATAAAATTGGACATTCTCATGCACTTATACCATGAGAGGACTTAAAATGTATAGGTTTTAGACAATGTATGTCACCTTGCAGGGATAAGTACCTTGTAAAACACACTGAAAGGCAGGAATCAAGACATACTGTGAAGGTAAAGTCAAAGTAATGTATCTGAAACCTAGAATTAAAATTACTGTGTTTATTATTATTCTGTTTTTTAGAGAACAGTTAGTTATTCAGCTACATGTTTACAACTGTGTTTATTGATGGCATTGACTTTTGACGTTTGATTTCTGCAACCATCAGGTGGAGGTATTAATTCGTAGTAAGTTGGAGTCCACCATCACATCCTTCTCTATGAAAAGGCGGCAGGTCGTGGCTCGCCACAGGCGAGAGCAGCACCTGAAGAAGGACTTGAAAGTATCACCCAAGAAAGATGTGATGACTAGGACCAACAGCCGATCAAGGCAGCGTAATGTGGGTCAAGGGCAACGTACCCTCAGCTGGGATCCTGACACTTTCTGCTCCGATAGTGACTGTTCTGTAGTGAGCAATGATGTTGACAAGGCAGGGACCACACCGGCATCTGTTGTTGACCTCACTGGCAGTGTCAGCCCAGCTCAGAGTAGTGAGGATGTTGTTGTGTTACTGTCGGCTGGTGAGGAGGACAAGGTCCATCGTTCGGAGTTGGAAAAGTTAAGGCAGAGCTCACTTGCTCCTGTTCCGGTTAGAAAAATATCCTTACCCCTGAAGTCAATGGCTGAAGACACTTTGCAAACACTCAGACTAAAGAAAGACTCACCAGGACAAAAGCTGATTTCTTGCAGTCCTTTTAAATCTCGCACTGAGAGCCATGAGTGTTTTGACAGTCGGTTGGAAACCATTTCTGAAGACTCTGTGACGTCAGGTCCCAGCTCTCCTCACACTGCTGATACTTCTCTCAGATGTACAGAGTGCAACAAGCTTTTTACCAAAATGAGGAGACTAGGACCTCCAAGAACCAAAAAAAGGGACAAAGGTAAGCATTTTAAAAAGACCCATTTTTAAATTTTTATTATGTAAAGCTGAGAATACATGTCTGGAAATACTTTTTCTAGTGCTCTTTTGTTGTAAACGTGTTACCATAACCCACTGAACCCAGAAATTCTCAAAAATTTATTTTGAAAAAAGTATTTAAAAAGGAATTTTTCTGATTTTTTCCATAGTTTCTGCATTACTAAATGGTTAAAATTAAAATTATTTTATGTCATTTAGAATGGTTTGAAAGTGCTTGATGCTAGTTTTAAACCAGACGTTTAAAACATTCAGTGCCACAGAAAGCTATTACATAAAATAGTTATGAATACATAACTGAGGCCCAAGACGTTGTTTTATGATAGTTGTTTTCCGATAGTGGTGTGATAAGTTTTTGACCTAAAATATTGCAGTGTTTTATGTGCAGGACATTGGAAGCAAAATAGTCCCCAAAGAAAATTTATTTATTTCTTCTGATTTACCACTGTTTTAACATTATCAGCAATTTGGAAAATCAGATGAATTTCCCCTTTAATTGTATGTTTACTTTTGTTGGACAGCTTAGGTCATTAGACACTTATTTATGGGTATATAGTACACATGCCAATTACACACATACACATTATCTAAGCAGCTTATCCTCCTGGGTCGGGGTGCTAGAGCTTATCCCAGGGCTCAGTGGACAGAAGGCAGAAAACGCCCTGGTCATACATACCAATTTCATTACTAATTTCATTGCCTCTCTACTTATTCTTCCTAGATCCAACCTCTCTATCATGTGATGAATGGTTGCTCAAAAAAGCATGGCACCCACAGAGACGACGGCACATGAAAGGGTATGTGTGCATTTAAGAAGTATATGCAGAAATGTTATAATTTGAAACAAATTGAAAAATCTAGTACGTAACCAGGAGAAGTGTGTTTTAGCTGTCCGCTGTAAAGAAACAAACTGGTTCTTGCGTTTGGTTAAAAAAACCCAAAAAACGTTTTTATTACAATTTTTTACTGTAGAAAGCTATGGGTGCACTTGAAGCGAATTAGGATGCTTGCTCTGAAGCATTCAGCTGCTGAAATGACAAATGTATGGCCGCTGTGCTCTAGACCTCACGTCTTTCTGCAGAGGTAAGTCCACAAATTGTGACAGTTATATACATTGATTGCATAGTATTTGATAAAATGTAATAAAGATATTATATAATTGCCTGTTTTGTTGTCTACAATTGGTAACAGAGTGTAATCCTGTTACAGGAAAGACTGTATTTCAAAACTTAGTATGTGTTCATATGCACAACCAAGAGCTTCTATCATAAAAAAAATGCTTTACAGGAATTTGCGTCGCTGCAGGGAAATGTCCAGCATGCTTGATCAGTCTGAGAGCAAAGTCAAGTCACGTCGCCGTAGACTTAAAGCAACAAATGCATGGCCTCCACTCTGTGCAAAATATCAAAGGCAAAAAAAGAGGAAATCCTCTGAGAAGGACAGTACATCACAGCATCTTTCAGCCCTGGACTTCACCATCGTCACCAACTCCATGGAGAACAAACGGCCTGCAAAGCATGATGCTCACCATACTGGTTCACAGCAGCAGAACAAAGTTCTAAAGAAGCAAATCTTTAGTGACAAGAGTGACGTCCTGGATGAACAGACAGGTTGTGATAGCCTAGAGGGAACTCGCAGGGTGCTGAAATTTGATGACTCTATATGTAAATTGGCCATGGACCCACGGAAACCAAGACAGGGCCTTGCACATAAACATGCAGAAAGAAAACTACATGAAGGCCAAGCAGATTTCACAGGAAAGGATTGTACCGGGGCAGAAAAAGTTCTTCGTGAAGACCTGGAAGAGTTTAGAACCCCCCCAGACATCTGCAGTGTGGAGTCTAAGATTGTCAGGAAAAGTCGTCCGTCGTTCTTTTCCTCAGGCCATCCGCCACATACGGCACACAAGGACAGTTTTAGGTCCATGTTAGCTGCATTTGAGAAGAGTCACAACAGGATTATTAAAGAATCCCATAACTGAGGGTTTTGCAGTGGCTTGTGTTGCCCTTGTTTGGAAATATTTGGTGAGTTACTCTGTCCTGTCATGGAGCTAGAAAAGTTATAGATGGACATCTGATTCCTGTATTGCCTGTGAAACATTTCAAAACTTTGGAAACCAGCGTTGATCAGTCTGTATGATGTGAGAAAGCATACCAAGAGTTGTTGTTTGTATGTTGTTGTTTTAACTTTTGAAAATGTTAAGAACATCAATTTGGCATTGCCATTGTTTTGTAAGACGAGATAAGGGGGATGTTACATTAGTTTGGCATGGTCTTTGTATGTTCAATAGAGGGAAGCCTTTTGTTTTTTCAAATGGACGAAGCAAAGTTTTGCTGCCACGTTTCTAGTGTTGCTGAAACTTTAGGTCATTGTCCTTTTCACAGACTTTTTTTTTTCTTTGAAGAAAGCAGTAACACACTATGTTAATAAAATAAATACAAATAAACTGTATACAGCACAAAGTAGCAAGTAACATTGTTTTATTAGTATTTTGGTTATTAATGTCATTGTCAGAAAAACAGTTTTGTTAATTTCTACTTATAATGTGATGTACATGTTTTACAGCTTATTTAGAGCTTCTGTTTGCTTTATGTTCTGCGTCTTCATTAATGCCCACAGTTTGTTGCTGTTAACGAATAAATGCAGCTGACGTTGACGATGAGAATGGCTTTCATACGATTTCGCAGTTTCGACCACACGGGGGCGCAAGTGGCACATAAACCATAAGAGTACCATAAAGTAAGTGGGCTGGTTGTTTGGTAGACTGGGACCAAACGAGTATAGCTTTATTAAAATGTTCGTAGAACTGCGTATAGGAATAGAGGTAAGACGTGAAAGTCTGCACTCAGACAAATAATTTAAAGGGGAACTCCACCGTTTTTTTCAAGAAATCTACATAATTAAGTAGTTGAGATGTAAACAGAGTTATGGTTCGTTGTGAAATGTTTCTAGAGAAACTCGCCGAGTCAGAATTGTCCAGTGGTGGTGATAGGAACCAGACGTCTACATCTAAAAGCTCCCTCACAGAAATTACATCAAATGGTTAGATGTATGCTGCCTGATGTCTGATACACTGTTTTATGACAGTTTAGTCATAAAAGTAATGGCTTAAAATGTATTTTAATCCATTCATGGCAGAGGGGTTGTAAGGGAAAATAGTCCCCAAAGAAAACTTTTTTTTTCCCATTTTTATAACTATTGTATCATCATCAAGATTACATATAAAAAGAATACGTGTAGATTCACTGGTGGTTTTGGATGATAAACAAAATGCCTATATTTGTGTTGTAGACATGGCGACCCTTGGTTCTTACCACCACCACTGTTAAGAAATCCGAGCAAGTTTCAAGTATTGGGGGAATTCCCCTTTAAGCCCCAGGTCAAAAGACGCTGCTATTCAGCTAAGCTCAACTTTTGGCTAAAGTTACCCCGCTTTTGTGATAAAGTCCTGCATTGTGGAAATAACACCGCGATTAAAACATTACCTCCACACTGTTTATCTATGGAGAAGTTTATCTTGAGGGGAACAAACCGCTCTTCTTTAAAATCGGCGAGGCGAGTTGCTCCGTTAGCGTCTCCTCATCAGCCATTGGTCGGACCGTTGAAGGGAAGGCGCGCGCGCTTCTCCCGCCCTCAAAACTCCAAAGAGAAGGGCGCGAGCGGAGCGGCGCTGCAGAAACGGAGCTCGGGCGCGCGCAGTAGCAGTTATAAGACAGTTACGGACCTGTAAACTTGTTATAGCTTTATTTTTTAAATAGATATTTTACAGTACAAAAGGCGCGCGTAGCCAGATGTGGAGTGCTAAGAGGATTTTGACGCTGGCCGCGAGCCGTACTGTCCGACAGGGCGATTGTATCGAGTTTTTTTGAACACTGCTCACTTTTCAGCTCGCGCCGCGGTGCCGGTTCGTTCTGGGCCAAAAAGGGTTTCATGCGCGCGACGAAAGAGGATGCGCTCGAGCTTGGCACAAGCATGCACGGAGGCAACTCTTCAGTTGGAATGTAAGTTCAAAACCTGATCAATGTGCAACCTGAGAGCAAGTATCGTGTGTAGTAACATACTTTGTTACGTTTGAAGTTAACTGGTTTATTTTGCACTTATTGGAGATCTTGCTATCTTGCCATTGTTAAGCCATAACATTAAAACCATTAAAACCACCAGTCGTTGTCCATTTTATCAGCTCCCCTTACCATTTATGACCCCTCCTATATAGGAGTTATATAATTACAGACGGTAGTCTATCTGTTTCTCTACATACTATGTCATCCCCCTTTTATGCTGTTCTACAATGGTCAGGACCCCCACAGGACCACCACAGAGCAGGTATTATTTAAATGGTTGATCATTCTCAGCACTGCAGTGACACTGACGTGGTGGTGGCGTATTAGTGAGCTGGAGGTTTTTAACACCTCAGTGTCAGCCAACGTCCAGCCAACAGCACCCTGTGGGCAGCATCCTGTCACCACTGATGAAGGACTAGAGGATGACCAACAAAAACTGTGCTGCAACAGAGGAGCTACTGTCTCTGACTTCACATCTTCGAGGTAGGAGTGTCTAATAGGGTGGACAGTGAGTGGACACAGTGTTTAAAAACTCCAGCAGCACTGCTGTGTCTGATCCACTTGTACCAGCACAACACACACTAACACACCACCACCACATCAGTGTCACTGCAGTACTGAGAATGATTCACCACCTGAATAATACCTGCTCTGTGGTGGTCCCAAGGGTCTGACCATTGAAGAACAGGGTGAAAGGGGGCTAACAAAGTATGCAGAGAATTAGATGGACAGTCTGTAATTGTAGAACTATAAAGTGCACCTATATGGTAAGTGGAGCTGATAAAATGGGCAAACAGTGTAGAAATAAGGTGGTTTTACTTGAGTTTATTTTACAACTCAAAATCTTTTATCCTTTTCTTTTTTGTTGTGCTTGGCCCGCAGACTGACCGGGCACAGATTTGCCAGTGGATCTGCTTTTTAATAGGCGTGTCCAAGTGAAAAGCACAAGAGATGTCAAAGTGTGTCTCGGCTCTGCTTGTGTTCTGCGTGCACATGGTAAGGGCTTTCTTCCCCTCTTTAACTTAGTGTGCGAGGCAGCGTGACACAGCTTTTATATGTGGAAATGAAGAAATGTTTTGCACCACTTGACTTTGGCACAGGTTCAAAGGAAGAAACTGCAAGAAATGTCTTGGTATTGGTTTTCACGAAACTACAGCTGTGTTATAATGTGGCAAACAATGCCACGATAATAGGCTAGTGAAAATTCTTCATGCTGCTTCATGTCACATTTGTATATTTTACATTGAATAATTTAACAGAAGTTCAACTGCAGTATACAGAAAGTAGTCTAGATATTCTTAAGAACTCAGAAAGCCCTTTGTGAAGTGCTTTATATAGGACGCTGGGCTGACTTTCCACGCACAGGTCAGTATAGTCTGAATCTTCACTGACAGTGTAATTACGTCCAGTCTGTGGAGAACTGTCCCACAATCTTTCCTACAGATTAAACAGAACAGATAGCAGTTGGATGAAACTACGCAGAGCTGCAGCTCGTTGCATTTCCCTAACTCGCACAAAATCCATCTCCCACACAATCCTTAATCCACCAATTTCACCCAGCAAGTTATTTCTCAGAGGAGAAGCAAATGCGTGCCTTTATTTTCAGCGATTAATTCAGAATGGTAAAAATTGACTTGAGGAGGCCCATGTGCAGGAAGCATTGAGGTTTTAGTCCGAGAAACCAGTTAAAGTCCAAATGAGAATCCGTGTAATGGCTTGGCCTTAAGTCCTTCTCCTGGGACCCCCTTTGGCCAAGCTCAATCCGCTTTTACCCTTTCCAGTATATTGTGCCTTTTTTATCTCTTAAACTGTAATAAAATGTGTTTACATCGGATTAGGAGCAGGTCCCAAATCCCATGATTTGTGAAAATACCACAAAGACTTATTGATTGGTTTAATGTATATTTATTTATTTTTCAAAGGATGGCTTAAGTTACTCTTCTCACATTCCTGGCCTTGATGTTTTTTTTTGTTTTTTTTTCCTTAACCCAATACATTCCTAGATGAATTGCAGAATGCACATTAGGCATGATAACAGATATAAGATGAATACACTAATGTCTTAATGGGATGAAGATACATTCTTACTCTAGTCGTGGTCAGTTTTCACCTCAGTATGCATTGTCCATTAAAAGGTTCAGACTAGGCTAGACTAGGTTCAGATTAAGCTTGATATCCCTAGTCACTCCACAGTACTTGTTGTATTAACCTTCTTTAGAAGGTCTAATCTCTGTGGCCTCATCCTGTATAAGAGTTTTTCTGAACTGCTGAACGTGAAAAATGGTTATAGATGGCAGAATATGGCAATGCAATGTATCATTCCTTAATTCTTCTTGCAGCATCAGCCTTCACAATGCTGATACTGCAGAAGCATGTAATGAGCCTCTAACCAATCACTAATTGTTTTATTGAGTGCTGTAAGCATCCTGGCATTCACATGATCCAGCAAACATAAATTATTTGGGTTGAAAAGAATGCAGGCCATTCTTTAACAACATCACTTCAGTGTACTTTCAGTATACAATACTGTGCAAAAGTCAGAGACTTTTTCATTTATTTTGTTTCCAGTCAAAACAGCAATTAAATTCAAGTTATTCATTTTGTCAGGAGATATTTCTGAAAAGATAATATATAAAATAACTCGCATAAGGAAGGGGATGAAAAAAGAAAAAAGTCAAAAGAAAATAAATGAACAGTTTCCAAGTCCGTAGTTCAAAAAATGATTGAGATACGGAGAAAATGGGACTCATAACAACCATGCAAGACCGGGTAGACCACCAAAACTGTCACCATCAGATCAACATTACTTAAAGCTTTCATCTTTGAGAGAGAGGGGGAAAAAATCAAGCTCCACTCTTGCTTTAGATTTGAAAAAATCACAGCTGTTTCTGTCCAACCTTTCACTGCAAGAAGACAAGAAGAAAAGGAAATTAAAAAGAAGCTGCTAGTGTTTGCAAACGGACTCAACATCATCGAATGTGTTTGGGATTACTTAGATTGTGAGATGCAGAAAATGCAACCAACTTCTAAGACTGAACTTTGGAGGTGTGGAAAAATATTACTGTGAAATTCTTTTAAAAACTGAAAGCAAGTCTCCTGAAAAGAATAGAAGCTGTAATAAAGGCAAAGGTTACTCTAAATTCTGAAAATTTTGTGTAATTTCTGTGTAAATTTCTGTAAAATATATTTTCTGCTTTTTCTTCCTGACAGTGAAAAATGAACAACTTATATGACAGAAGGAGGTTTTTCCTTCTCCTGTAAAGCTAGTATTTTGGAGATATAAGCTTTTGGCCTTACAGCAACAATATTGTAAGATATACTGCAATCACAATATATATAGAAAAACAAATGTAGTTAGATTGTCCTTATTGTGCAGCCCTAACCTGAACGTT